GCAAGGATTTTCTCCCAGTCCACAGCTGGTTTCTCATTCCTATAGTGTCTCTCAGAGAGCAAAGGACTTCATTTTACTAAAGTCTAACTTCTTGGCTCGTTCTCTCCTGGAGTGTGTCTAGGAAGTCACTGCCCTACCCAGGGCCACCTATATTCTTTTCTCCTCTGTTACCTTCCATAACTTTTGTAGTTTTGTGTTTTACCTTTAAGAATGTGGTCTATTTTGCTTTCAATTCAGAGTTGTCAGGTCTGTGTCTAGTTTCTTTTCTTTTTTTTGCATGTGGAGGTCCTGTTGCTACATTTGTTTAAAGTCTGTCTTTCCTCTGTGGCATTGCTGCTGCTCCCTTGTCAAAGGCCAGCTGGCTGCACCTGGGCTCTCGGTTCTGCTCCGTTGCTCTGTTTGTCTGTTCTCTTACCAGGACCAGTCTTGATCACTGTAGCTTTATGGTAAGTGTTAGGAGTTGGGTCCTCACCTTTGTTTTCCCTTCAGTTTTATGTTGTATTCTGGGTCATTTGCCTCTCCATATAACTCTCAGAATCAGTTTGATATGCATAATCAAACTGTAGGAATTTTGATTAGGATTGCATTGACCGTATAAAACAAGATGGGAGGAATGGACATCCAACAATACTGAGTCTTCCTATCCCTCTCCATTTATTTTGTTCTTTCATTTTTTTCCATCAGACTTATGTAGTTTTCCTCATATAGATCTGGTGTGTACTTTGTTACATGTATACCTATGTGTTACATTTCTTTTTATTGCTAATATAAATGATAATGTTTTTTAACTTCAATTTTTAAAATGGACAGGCTAAGTGTGTGGCTAAGTATATAGCATGTGGGAGGTCCTGGGTTCAGCCCCCTAGTACCACAATAAATAAATAAGTGCATAGATAAATAAAAGAAAAAGAAAAACAAGGTTGAACAAATCACACCACTGTGTCAGCGCTTGCACAAGAACAACAACTGAGGCACAGTGGTGCTGGCTGAGGGATGGACAGGCTAGAGATCAGAGTCCAGAACAACTGGCAACCATAAGCAAAAAACTTAAACCTTGATTCAAACCTCACACCTTACACAATTAACTCAAAAGATATCACAAAAATGAAAACCATAAAATATCTAGATGGAAACAGAAAAGAATCTTTGTGACTTGGCATTTGGCAAAGAGTTCTTAGATATTACAGCAAAAGCATAATCCATGAAATAATCCAAACAAGAAATGTTGATAAATTTGACTTCATCAAATTAAAAAAAAAAAAAGTGTCAAGAGAAGAAAAGACAAGTTAAAGATGGGGAGAAAATACAAGTCACCTACCCAGACTAGGACAGGTTCCAGAATATGCAAAACTCTCTTAAAAATCAGCAGTAAGAAAACAAACAACTCAGTATAAAAGTGGGAGAGGCTTGAACAGCTGCTGCACCAAATATGATGTACGTGTTACAAACAAATGCACCAAAAGGTGCACAGCATCGTCAGCCCTGAGGCAAGCAGACTCAACTGCAACGCTACAGCACCTCCTACCTACAAATGGCTGAGAACAAAGCCATCATGGAGCACACATGGAGTCAGGTGGGGCGGAAGGAGCTGGGCCCTCAGACCTCACAGTTATGGATGCAAGGTGGTGCAGCCACTCCAGAAAGCCAGTCTTCCCCAGTGACATGGCCCACTCCCAGGTATCTGCTCCAGAGAAACAGGCACTTATGTCCACATAAAACTGCACAGAAATGTTCATGGCCATTCTACTCTTAGACATCAAAAACTGACATGCAAACACTTCTCACCAGGCGAACTGGTAAACAAACTGGTGTCGCCCATCCAATATTATCCAGTACTACAAAAGGGCAAACACTGATGCACTCAACAACTAGGATGGATCTCAAGGGCATTAAGCCGAGAAAGGAATCCAATCACAAAGGGATATGTACATAGGTTCTATTTATTTGGCATTCTTGAAAAGAGGACTAAAATTCTGGGAGTTGGTGGTGGCCAGGGTGCTAGGGTGTAAAGACAGCAGGTTCTCAGTGAGGAGTTCCCTGGGATGGCAAAGCCATTCCACACTTTGATTACAGGGCAGGTTACATGAATCTCATGTGTTCAAACTTCAAAGAAAAAAGGTTAACAAAAGCTTTTTAACTTAATAAGAAAATTAACATATATTCCCAATTAAACTTTTTCATAAGCTGTAACAGGAGGAAATTCTCAACTTGATAAATGGTATTTACTGAAAACCTACGACTTGAGTCATACTAAAACAAGACACTACAAATACTCCCATTAATGCCAGGAAAGTGCAGGCTGGCTTGGTATCACTGCTAACTGGAACAAGGGGTAAATGCTGGAGGAGAGCTGCAGTGATAGCCCTTGTGGAAATCCAACAAAACCCTTGTCAAGTCCATCACAAAACCAGTGGACATCTCCACCTACAACACACAAGTCCCTGATGGAAACACACCGAGTTCAGACAGGAAGTACTGAGAACTGGGTGAAGAAAACATGTAACGCTTCCAGAAGATACCAAAAGAGCATGAATAAACAAGCTGCCATCTGTGGGGGAGGCTTTTGAAGGCATTAGTGACTCACATGGTGAACTGCAAATCCACTGCAATCCAAACTGAAATTCATGGACTCCGGTATGTGATTGTGTGAGCTGCTTCCAGACTGATCAAGCAAGGAAGAAAAGCCAGCATCAAAGACAAGGAAGGAAGGAAGGGAGGGAGGAAGGGAGGGAGGGATGGGAGAGGAAGGGAGGGAAGAGAGAGGGCAGAAGGAAAGGAATGATGAAGGGAGATTTCTGTATTAAGCAAAAAAATCTTCTGGGTCCATCCTTTCCCATCAGTGTGACAAACACTGAGAATCAACTCTCAAGGAGGAAAGGTTTCTTTTGACTTACAGTTTTGGAGGTTTCAGTGCATGGTTGGTTGGCCATGCTGCTTTTAGGACTGTTATGAGTATAGCCAGAGAAAGCAAAGAGAGAGGAAGAGGCTGGGCTCCCACAATCCCATTTGAAGGCACTCCCGCTAATGACCTAAACACCTCTGATCAGACCCTACTTCTTAAAGGCTCCACCACTTCCCGATAGCACCCCTTGGGACCAAGCCTTTAACATAATGGTCTCTGGGGGACATATAAGATCAAGACTATAGCACCACTGATTCTGACTCCTTACTGAGGTCCCCCACCTAAGCAGTCTGGATGTGGACAACACACTAAGTATAATTAAGATAATTGGAATCCTCACAAGCACCAACTCAGGACAGTCAGGAGAGTTCTGTAGCTAGAGAGGTGGTGCTAGGGACCAGTACATCCCCAACATGTTGACCACCAGTCCTGAAGGTAAAGGATGCACTGGGTCCCACCAACCACCACATCCAGTGACCTCAAGACCTGGACCTCTACATCCTGTGACACTGACTTGGACCTCTGCCTCATGACCCCACTGACCTGGACCTCCACCTCCAGTGACCTTACTGACTAGGTCCTTTACCTCCTGTAACCCCACTGACCCAGACCTCCACCTCCAATGACCCCACCGACCTAGACCTCCACGTCCTAAAGAAAAAGAGCCAAAAGTCAGACCCAGACTTCATCTCTGGGATTAGTAGATCTGTGGATTAGTAGGCATCATGGGGCCTCTGGATAGAAATGCCTACCAATGCCAGTCTCCACCATACCAACGTCTGTTTCCCTTCCACCATCTGCTGTATACTAGAGGATATACTTGGTCTTCCCAAGGCCACACCTGAGTCTGTGATAACAGGGGCTATGTGGTGCTTGCACACAGAATGGCTCTGTAGAAACAGCACCATCTGCCAGGGTGCAGCGTCCAGGGGCCCCAGCCTCACAGAAGCAGGCTACCAAGCTCTGTCTGCTGCAGAAGGAGCAGCTGTGGCAGGCAGGGACATAGCGCCTGCTGAGTGAACTCACAAACTTGTCACTTCTTCCTGGGGGACAGACACTGAAGTCCTGGTCTTGGGTAAAGGTGGAAGCTCAGACCCCTGGTATGCACTGACCTCATGGGACATGGGGGCCTTCTGCCAACATGGAAGGCCTGTGAACATCCTGACCCTAAGGACGCGAGTCTGCCACTCGCTGTGTTTTCTCCAGCACTTGTCAGTGCTGGGCTCTGGTGGAGTCATGATCAATACCTCTGTAAGACGAGTAAATGACTTGCTAAAAGTAAAAGCCAACTTTTAAGTCAGTTTCTTTAGAACAACCTTATTTTTCAAGCTTACTGATTTTAAGGCCATGAGAATATAATTTTGGTCACTGTCTTCTTCCCCTCCAACTCTAGTTTCCTCAGGTTTTCATGTAACTTTTAAAAACTGAAGTCTGGCCAGTGCTTTTTCCCTGTTTTGGGTGAACTGTTCAACACATTTCCAGTCAGCTCACCGACGGGAAGCAGCAGGCTCCCTTCCAGAAGCTTCACTGACTTCCTCTCTGGAAGTAGAGAAGCAACACACACTTCAGAGTTTCTGCCAAACTCTGTACCCAATGCTGGGCCAATTTAAATGAAGTTTTGTACCCACGCAACATTTTACAAATGTTTCATGGAACAAAGGAGGCAGTAAACCTGGGAGGGGAACATGTGCACATGTGGGATTATGGCATGTGTATGCATGTGGTGAGAGTGTGCTCCTGAAGGAAGGTGAGGTCTACCTTAGTGCCAGCACCTGTTACACTTGCAGGGATCCTTGTTATGAGGTGGGGGGTGAGGGGAAGGCTGGACCCCCTGCAGACACCGGACTCCACAATACTTGTAGTACCTTATACAACGTAGTGTAGTTTAGGGAACAGTGACAAGAAAAAGTCTACTTTCACTTCAAAAAACTTCTGAATATTCTCATTCCATGACTGGTTGAGTCTATGTGTGCAGAGTACAAGAGTACAGACAGCTGGCTGTATTCTATAACAGATCGTCTGTCTTGCGCTCTTACATTTATTCTATGTAATAAATATCCAGCCCAGGAGATTTTAGTCAAGTTTTCCTTCTGCTTTTATTACAAGCATATAATATTAGTTGGCAAAACACTGAATACAAGCTTCACTATCATAAAATCAAAACATTAAGCAATAATCCAAAAAAGATTTTAGACAAAAACTAGCCACTGATGGTACAAAAATTACACACCAACACAAGCATAAAAAATGTAAACTTTCAAATTAAACAGTAAAAAACCTGTATCTGCACCATCATTTCCATGTGTGACAGCTTTCCGGTTTGCCGCACCCCAGGGCTCAGGGTGGGGCTGCTGTCTTGAACCTGACACTACTTTTACTTGGGAAAAACATGTCCAGTACCCAGTTGAGAGCAGGAACAGATGCTTATGCTAGCGCTTCACACACATACCTCAGGGACACCCTTCAGTCCACTTCAAAAAGCGCTCGTGGATGGGTGTGAATCACACCCCCAGCAGGGACACCGGGCAAGGCAGCTCAGCCCCTCAGTGTGTTCCCTATGGGAGCCGCACTGGTCTTGCCTGGCAGGACAGTGACATGTGTGCAGCTTGTGGTACACTTCAAGTGCTGGTTTTCTAATCTACGCATCACAGCCTGTTCATGTGTGTGCTTCAGTATCAAGGTGAAGTACATTTGTTTTCATATAAGGTCATGTGATGTGATGGGGCTTAAATGATTTCCTGAGGAAACAGAAATTATTTTTGTATGTGTGATTTAGCAATCTGCACAGAATTTATTTTTAATGTTTTGAAAGCACATTCAATACCCACATACAATGTAGCAATCAGCTGTGTGTTCCTAGAACATTCTATCCAAGGACACATTCCAGAGCACTGTGAAATGCCATCCTGTGTGCCCTCAGAAATGAAAAACTCCAGGACTTTGGTGCCAAGGCAGGCCTCAGAGCCAGCTGTGAAGAGCAGCACTGACAGGTCTGTGGGGTTGAGAACGTGATCCCAACCGCTGGGGTGGCTGAACTGCAAGTACAAAGGCTCCAGGGCACCAGGACCTGGGGGGGCCTCTATGGCTGTGAGCCTGGCATGGTGACAGTCTCATCACTTCCTGCCCAGCTGCTGGTTTCTGAATATTGCTAGCAGGTATTCCCCACATGGACACACAGTCCCCACAACGGCATTCTTACAATAATAAAGACGAAGAAGGAAAACCAAACAGCCGAATGTACGCATTTTGAAATTCCACCTACAGTCCCTTTCAGTTTGGCAGAATCGATGCTAGATCACAATTTAAACACATCTAATAAATGCATGTTGGAACCTATTGCACAAAAACATAGAAATGCTCTTCATCCCTATAAAAAAACATATGAACTGAAGGCTATGCAAAGTAAAAGAAGCTTGCAAAACATCTCACAATTTCATCTTATATGCCTGTAAATAAAGCTGGACCACGGAAACCAAACAATTGGATGGGAAAATATGATAGAAGGCTTAAAATAGAATAAATAATTTTATAAAGTTTTCTTTTTTTAACCCCCCAAATCTTAAATTCAATATTATATATTCTATCTGAGTATTCTATTTTTGTGAAAATGGTGTCTGGAGAGACCTGGTGCTGGGAGGCTGGTCCCGCTGCTGCCGACCATTGCAGAAGGTCGCCTGACAGCACCCAGTTTCCCGCACGGCAGCTGTGAAAACGACTTCGCAGAAGCTCAGCCTGCTGGGACTTTCAACAGGACCAATTGCTAACAATCCTGGTGATCGTGCTGGAAAACAAAATTCAGCCTTTGATGTCATTTGGAGCTTGACAGGGGTGAAACGAGGTGGCCGGAAGCTTCCATTTGATGCAGGTTAACTCTGTATGTGTCTGAGCGAGGTAAGGCTACAGGTCAGACCTAAGGGCAGAGCGCACCGGGAGACGCCTGCAATGCAGACTGGTGTGCGATGGAGCCTAGAAAAATAGGACTTTTGCTGCTGAGGTTTCTCAGGTTAACGTGGTGACAGAAGCAGGGCTGTGGGGCGGCGCCCGGCCGGACGTTGTGCCAACTGTGACGTCTGCCTCGCTGTACACTTCTATCTATCAACTTAGCACCATAGCAAAGTCAAGTGATTCCAAAGGTAGCTACAAAGTTACAAATGTATGTCATGAGATTATACAGCGATACTAAGTTTGATCTGAACTGTGAATTAGCTTTATTTGAATTTGGAGGCTCCTAACTGTTTAATCTTTCTTTAGCTTCACCACACAGGAAAACACCTAAATCCTAATGTTACATACACTTCAGCTGCACTGTGAGAAAGAACATGGTCATGCAGGATGCTTCTGTAGTGTGTGCTGAGGTAGACAGGTAATATTTACTCATAAACCCTTGAATAGGAACTCCAGAAACAATCTGGATGAACAGTGTCCTCAGGAAACTGAGTCATCCAAATAGTCCTGGACTTAAATAAAGAGGTGAATTTTGACCAATTCCTAACAAAGAGCTTGTTTTTTGTGTTTTAAAAAAGGCCTCACATTGAAGATTGCTTGGATGAGTTAATTTGGCTGTTTCCTCATCACTAACATTAGGTCTCAGTTGCTGCTTGACATTTTGTGTATGTGAAAAGTAAGCAGAAGAAAACAAAACTGGTTGTCACCGAGCCCAGCCACAGCTGTCAAAGCAAATTCAAGAAGAAATTCCAGTTGCTAAGGTGAAGACTCATGGACACACTGAGAGCCTCATCTACCCAGCAAGAGCTGGTAGGCAGTGGCTTAGAAGGACCCACTGGGGTAACCATTGGGCTCATCCCACAGGGCCTGAGAAAGGAAGGAGGGAGGGGCCCAAAGTTCAGCAAGAAGTAGCAGACACCCAGCACAGGTTCCCAGGGGACCCAGGACAGCACTTCAACCACCTTGGAAACGGCCCATTCCCCTCACTCCTGCCTTACAAAACTCCATCTCTGCCTTAAGGTAACAAGTGTTTATGTGCTGGCAAAGAGTTTATTCTCTAATTCAATAAAAAAAAAAAAATTACATTTGGGAGGAGAGAAGAGTTAACAAAGAGCATCCTGCTTGTGACCAAAAAAAGCAACTTCTGCTGGGCGGAGCAGTTTCCTGAGCAGTTCGGCCTGCCTGGCCCAGTCCCACAAAGTGTGACTCCAAGGCCACCTTTTGTGGACAAGGGCCACAAAGCACATGCACCATCCCCACCAGCAGGAGGGCGAGCCTGGAAACACCTGCCATGGGAACATGGAGCCGTCTCTGTCTTGCAAAAGGCACCCTTCCTGCAGGCAAACATACCTGCAGCCTTCATCAGGCCTCCCTGCAGGCCGGGTGCTTTCTGACAAGCACCCAACAGCCATCACCACAGCTCACGCAGAACGAAAACAAAGGAAAGCCAGGAACACAAGTGATGGCACCCAGGAATTTGTGCCCCTTTTCAATAAAAGCAACTTCTAAAACAAGAACTTTTCTGCAAGCTAGCGCTATGCTGGCCAAACCAGCTCTGGTCTACCCTGCTGAGTGTGCTGGAATCGCAGTGTGAAGTCTAGGGTAATTAAGGAACCCTGTCTTGCCTGGCCTGGGCCGGCCAGCCCAGGACACACAGCACAGGCCATGAGCTTGGGAGTGGGCCTCTGCTGTGCTCTACAAGATGGAAAAACAAACACCGTGGTTAAATCATAGCATTACTGCAAGCCTCTTTGGGTATGCTTTTAAATTAAATTTTTATATATCTTCTAAAGTCTTCAGGAAGGTAAAGGCAACATAAATATCATTTACCATGAAAAGACTTTTTCAATAACTTAGGAAGGACTCAATAAAAGTACAAGTATTTTTGAGGCTTAGCATGAAACCCAACCCATGAACTAAACTGAAATGAACTCAGATTCTCAAGGCAGGAAAGCAAGCAAAGGTGCTCTGTGTCAGAGGTGACTTGGAAGCGTTGCCACACTACACTTAATTCTCTGGCCCATGGATCTGAAGCAGAGAGGAGCACGTCTGGCCACACGGAACTGCAAAGTGTTTCCATCCTCTGTAAACGCGTGCTGGTAGTGTCTTGTTGGGCGTGGATTCTCTCGTACAAAAGTTATAAATATCCTCTATTCAGAAATCTGGTCCACATGGCACCCAGAGGTGACATTCCACGGCAGGGTTGCCGCGTGGAGCCCGGAGCGCAGCCAAGTCTGGCCGGGTCACAGCAAGTCCATCTTGGGTCTGTAGTGCAGCAGGAGGGGTGCCTTCTGCAAGACAGAGATGGCTGCTCAGAGGGAAGAAGGGGGAGGTGAGGGGACCAGATGGCTGTCTCCTCAGAAGGCTGAGGCCCACACTGTGGGCAGACAGACAAGGGCACAACTGCACCTGCAGTACCACATCTGAACCTTCCAGTCCTAGATGATGTGGAGGTGTACAGCAGCAGATGGAGGAATGAGCCCCACTTCCTTGGTGCCCTGTGCAGTGTTTGGGAACCCTGCCAGGGCCCTCACGACTTCACTTTCTCCTCCTGCCCATCAACTGGCTCTGGTCCTTCCTATTCTGTCTTTCACACTCTCTAGGCCTGGTACTGCTCAGCCCTCATGTTGATGAGCCCCTGCCCTTGGTCAACCCCAGTCCCTAGTCATTCTGCCCTCCCACCACCCCACAATCACTGTGGCCTTTGATTAGCCCTGTAACTGATCAGTGGCTCAACTGGAGGGGGAGGACCTGCTCCCCAGCCCTAGGTCAGGGATTCACCACCAGTTTCCTGCCTCAGTAAGGTACTAAAACTTGGGTGTTCACTCTGACTATAGCAGTTGCTGCCCCCTGTGACCTCTGATGTCTGGTCCCTTGGACTGGAGCAGGGAGTGAAGACCCTGGCTGGGGTAGATGATTCCAGAAAGAAAACTGCTTCACAGCAATCCCTGGGATAGGAAGGAACCATCACGTTCAAGCCAGCTATGGCAAGCAAGGACCAGCCTGCAAAGTCCAATGACCAGGAAACAAGCACATATGGTCTTACCTTGAATCTCCACCTGGTGACAACCACGAACTTGAGGGTGTGATCCTTGCCCAGGATCTCCTCATTGCATAAAATGTCCAGCTGGGGGGAGAAGAGGCTTCAGTTAGGGACACATGACACACACCAAAGCGGATGACAATGGTCACAGTGTAAACTGTGCTGCCATAGGCCTGAAGCTCCTGTTCTGTGGGAACGGCACTCGTGGGAACCTTTACTTGGCTCATCAAACAGAAGCCTGATACAACACAAGCTACCACATTCCAGGAACAGTTATGAGCACCAGACCTTCCTCAAGGGTACAGACACAGGTGGTTCCATGAAGCTCAGCCTGGGTGCTCAGTGTGCCAGTGATGCCCGGTGACCAGGCCCAGCGCCTCTGCTCCCTGAAGCTGCACATGGCTTGTGCATATCCAGCTCACTGCTTCTTTACCTGGAAGCCTCCCAAGTTCCCTCACTGTACCTCAGGTCTCATTATCCTAGGCCTGAGGCTGTGTGAAGGCTATTACTACTCCATGCACTGGCCCTTTGGGCCTTAAAGTCCTCTAAAGTCACCAGCATTCAGTCAATCACAGGGACGGTACCAGGTACCTGGTAGTACAGGTGCAAGGGAACAAAAGAGAGGTCACTGGATCATTTCTGTCCTCACAGAGCACACGGATGCCTTATGCACAAGAGTACATAAGGACCTCGTCCACAGAGCACGCAGAGCACATGGGGCCTTGTGCATATCCCCTCACAAACAGGTTGCATCAACAGGCTGTTTTCACCAAGACTGCCCTGCCCTTTCTTCCTGGTCATCCTGTCTTCTCACTTCGATAGAATAAGGAAATTGGCTTCCATTTTCCTATTATATACTTTATATCTTAGAGTAGTTTTAGGTTTCATCAAACTGATCAGCAGCACACAGTTCCCACTGCCATGACCCCACAAAGGCTCATCTGGTACACGGACTAACACAAACTGTGGTACCTTCAGCCTTGTGTGAAGCCACCTGGGTATCAGTCAGAGTACTGTGCTGTTCTCATCCCTGCCAGGGGTATGTACTGCTGTAGCTGCTTACCTGTCCAGCACTGGGGCCTGGTGCTCTGGGCTCATCTATCTGGCAGTGGCCACCCAGGACCCAGAGCCACTTGAGGATATGTGTGTTGCTGCTTCACAATTGTTTCTATCTGCATTTCCCTGAGTGCACAGGATAATGACGCAGTCTGGTTTTTTGAGCTTCTCCTTCAGGCACAGGACAAAGCTTGCCCTAACTGTGAGTTAATGGTGGTGGGTGACTGGCTTTCTGGGTCCATGGCAGCTTAGCTGTTTACAACCATTTCTATTAAGTGCTGCTCTGTTTCTTCATACACAGGCTTCACACCTGTGTGGTACCCAGTAAGGCGTGGTGTTCTCACCCTGTGACAGGTCCTATGCTGTGGACCTCAGAGGAAATCCTCTGTCTTGCCCAATATCTGTGAAGGTGGTGCTCACCTTTCCTGCATGGCCTCAGGGACCCTGGAGCTGAGAGCAGAGAGACCTACCTAGAATGCCAAGTTGACCTTGGTCAGAGCCCCCAAGAAGGAAATGTCCCTGTACCTGGAAGCTGACCTCCCCCATGTGTGCAGATGCCCCTTGCAGACAAGTTTGTCACCTCCACCTGCATACACCCAAAGCTCCTCTGCCCCATCTACTTCCTCCTCTCCTCTAGTCCCACCACACTGGACTCAGTTTTTTCATGCACCATTGGTGGCTGGTTCTCAAGGCATGCCCTTACTCTGACTGCTATCCCCTCCCCAGTCTTAGTAGAGCAACTCAGGGTTAGGACTGGGCCCCCTGATGGCCTCTCCAAGACCCTGGCTCCTACCCTATAAGCACCATTCTGGAGCCCAGTGTTCTGAAACTGGGCTGTGGCCAGGCTGTTGGGTGTGTCTGTGCAGCTGTAACAGAACAGTACAGACCAGGTAACTGGTAAAAAAAACATATTATTGGTCACAGTACTGGAGGCTAGAGTCAGGTCATGGGGCCAGCATCTTGGGAGGCCTTGCCTGTGTCCTTGCAGACCAGACGAGCAGAAGAGAAGCCACTCCGAAGCTGGAGTCCTTGTGACCAAAATGCCTCCTCAAAGGGCTAGGCTCTTCACACCCCCACCTCCAGCACTGCACAATGGGATTGAGTTTCCAGCATGTGGATTTGGGAGACACACTCAGATCACAGAGAAAATCCTCCTGCCTGAGTTCCTGGGCTTGTGGCCATCATTCCAGTTTCTGCCTGCCATTTCCTGGCCTCCTTTACCTGTGTCTCAAATCTTCCTCCACCTCATGTTTATGAAGGACTCTCATCACTAGATTTAGATCCAGCAGATAACCAGGGATCACTTCATGTCAACATCTTTAACATGATCACATTTGTGAAGCACCTCTTCCTATGGGTGAGCCCACAGGTTCTGATGGGGACATGGGTTCTCAGTGGACTGCGCTCCAAACCAGTCTCTCAAGCCACATGCTGGCCCTTCTCTCTTGCAAGGCTGACGGTACATTTTCAACATTGTCTGAGGGGTCTTTCAAAACTGTGCCTCACATCATGGACTGATCAGAGCCAGCTTCTGCTTAGTAGTCTGCACCTTCACGTAAGTGCCACTGCTAGGGGTGGTTCACTCAAGCTCAAGTGCTCAAAGTTCTCCCTGACAGCCTCTCTCCATGGTGGGCCTTCAGGTTTGCTTTATTCTCAGTTATTGGTCACAACCTTAGAGTATCACATCCATGCACCATTCATTCATCTACACACATACTCATTCATGAAATGAAAGAACAGAATTTCTCCTTATTACAAAAACCTCTAACCTACTCAAAAATAATCTATTCCCTGGGCTTTTCACAGCTCTTACTGCTGTTTCCTATCGTACTTACTGGCAGAGTAGGAAAGACAAATTATGAATTCTTTTTTCTCATTAAAATCTTCAAAGCTGTTGCTACCTCATTAAAGGAGGAGAGGTTGAGCTTCTTGGCGATGAACTTCTTCAGGTGCAGAACTGTTGCCTGGGCTGAACATCGAATCCATTTCCGCTTCAGGCCCCGGAGTTTACTGCTGTTGCATTCCAGACAGATGCTCACCTGGAGAGGGAAGGTGGGACGGTCAGGAGGGATCTACTGTCTATTCTTTGGAGTGCTGGCCTTTTGGAAATTGGAAGTCTGCTTTGCCTCAGTGTGGCAGAAGGGATTTCGTACCAGTCATTCTCTTAAAACATGCTTAGTGCCTAATGAGAAACACGCTCTGACCTATCAGCTGCCTCCCTGACCTACAGTAGCTTAGAACACTGAGTTCCTGGTGTTCTGCTCAAGGGCATTGAGCAGGGTGTGTGACGGAAGCAGACCCAGTGTGGCCTAGGCAGAGGAAAAGCCATGAGCACAACACTGGTCTGGCATCACATAGTGTACCTCCAATTAGTCACAATTCAGTGGAGTGAGCACAGACAGGGGGCCAGGATGGCAACAGGAAGTTAGCTAAAAGTTGCTGTAGGGTCCTAACAGCCACAGTTGCCCAGCAATGCAAAGGGGAACCTGCTTCTAAGGGTCAAGGCCCCATTCCAAGATACAGAGAGCCCCACTTCCATACACACAAGAGCCAACAGACAGCCTCTGGGAGCAGACACCATAAATGGCACACTCAGGCTCCCCAAAATTGATAAAAGAATTAACAAGGGAATGAATTGAAATACATATGTCTAAGATTACAAGAAATACAAAGGAGGAATTAAAAATGCAAGACTGGGTAAAACAGGCACAATAGATAATCAAACATGACATCTAAAAACAGTAAAGTAAACTCACTGGCTGAAGCTAAAAAGATGACACTCAAATGTCTGAACCACAGATCAGTCTCAGCTCAAGACAGCAACTTTTTGCAACATCACGTGAGGAACTTATCCATAAGCAGCACAGATATAGAGATACCAATTAAAGTGGAAAAGGAAGCTGACAAGGCACACAGACCTGCCCCAGGGGCTCAGAGAGAAGGGACAGAAGACGAGGGGCAGAATTCAGGAAATGGACGAAGGAGTCACCCAAACCCTCAGACTCAGGAAGCAAGAGAATCAAATGAACAAAAGTAAGCTCGCCCTCCAACTCAAAGGCTCCAGGAGCAATGGGAAGTGGCAGCAGACTCCATCAGGGAGGCAGCAGGGGAGAGTAGAGGGCTCTGCCCACAGGAACAGAAAATAGACCATCACTAAACCACACTCCAGAGTGACAATGGACCAAAGCCACTTGCAAGCACCCATGGAAAGACAGAGTCCCTGACGGAGGGAGAAGTGAGTACAGGAAGGACAGTGGAGCTGGACAGGACCAGGTGCAGACTTCTACTAACTCTGGGCTTTAGAATAGCAGACATAGAACTTATAACTTACAAACAAGTAGAAACAAAGGAGTGGTTAAAGAAAACTTCTCTGCCACCAACCCAACCTCATGCTAGAAAGCAAGGGAAACAGAAAAAAGGCACATGGGCCGTGTGAAGCAGAAGTCAGCTCAGCCTGAGCCAGGGCAGCTCACCATGAAGTGTCTGCCTGCCCAGCAAGCTGAGGCCCTGGTTTAACCCAGTACTGCAAACAACAACAACAAAAACCAGTTCATGAAAAGTGTGAATGACTTAACCAGTTAAAGAAAACTTCTAATTTGATTCTTTTAAGAGTCTAGCAGACACTATGAAAAGTGTCACAGTTAAGATATTAACAAGTTGAAACACCAGCCTTAGATTAATATGAGATAAGGCAGACCTTAATGAAATTCCCTAAGGATGGAAGTGTCTCTAAATGTGCATGTGCCTAGTGACATACTCACATCCCCACTTCTCTCAACCACTTAAGTCACCTCCCCAGGTGCATACAACATGGATGCAGGTGCCACAAGGCCACAGTTTGGTCTAGTCTGTGAGGTGTATTGGGCCACACTCAGCACTAGCTAGAGGAAGGGGCTGATCAAGGTCAGCCCAGACACCCAGGGGTGGGGAGGCCCGAGGGCACCTATGTGCACAGTACTGTCCTGTGTGTGTAGCAGGGACAGCATGACGCACTTATTCCACAGGTCCCAGGGTCTAAGCCATCAGTGAAACATGACTGGGTGGCTGTGGAACTTCCCAAGGATGGAGCTGGATGCACACTCTTACTGGAGCGTGGGACACCGCAGTGGCTGCCTGCAGCAGTTAGAGCTCTGGTGAGAGCAGCCCACCAGGCCAGAGCCTGGCCTGTCTCATTTGCCCCCAGAGAAGGACAGAGAATGGAGCCCAAGCCCATCACGATGGCTACGTAAGAGGTCACTGATACAGTCCTTTCCCCATCTAGGTGCTGCCACCCAAATTCCAAAGTGCATGTGGGAGTCTAAAACCATAGAGTCAGTGAGCTGGTTACAGGCAGGCGGCCCACAGAGAATCCTATCAGCAGTCAGGACTGTTCAAGGAACTCGGCAGCTGGTTCATACCAGGACCCCAAGGTCACCAGCAGTTTACTCAGGCCTCCTGCTCTCCCTGGCTCTGAGACCTTGGGAGGCCTACTCCATGCTCCCTGACATCTTCCTGCCAAGCAGCACCAGCAAGGTCATCAGAGGGAGAATGTCTCCTCAGAGGCCAGTGTAGCAGACAGCATCCAGCTACCGACATGCTGCCAGTGCTGGCCTGGAAAGTGGAGGTGGGTGAACAGCACAAGGTGGGTGCTTTGGAAAGGCCTGTTTGGGTAGAGAATGAGAGTAACTCAAATTTTCAAATCCAGGAACAAAGGCAGCCAGGCAAGGCTCTGAGCTAGATAAGCTTGAGAAAAAGGGAAGCTATAAAGGAATGGGAACTATCAGGGACTAGAATTCTGAGCACTCTGAAAAGGCAGATGGGATTAACAGAAAGGCTGACCAGGAGGCAAAGGCACTCCCATCTGTACCCGACTTCAGTTTAGTGGAAATGACTGTAAGAGCCATGGAGAGGGGTGGGCCTGGGGGGCTGGGGCAGAGCAGAGAGGTAGCACCAGGGTCAAAGTCAGCTAGAATGCTCTGAGGCCGCACACTGGCTGTCTGAAACATTAATACCCCATACCCTAAGACATTGAGGCACTAGCACAGGGCCTTTGTGGCAGAAGACCCACCCCCAACAATGCTGGTAGCCATGCCCGTTGGTACTGGCCAGGCTCCTGGGGCCCTGTCCAAAGCCTCTCTCCTGAGGAAGCAGTTCAGAAGAGAGAACCATGACAGGAGCCACCTGCCTGCCACCCACACCATTCTGAAAGAAGTCAGGCTCTGAAAAGAGACCTCAGGTTAAACACACACAGCTTATGTGCTAGAGAATGAAACAGCTGTGATGCAAAGTATATCTGAAGGTTTAGCCCAGACATACTTGACTGTGAGCAAGGGCAAAAGAGGAGGATGAAGCTGAGTGGAGCAGAACTGCAGAGCAGAAGGAAGGCGTTCTCAAGCAACAGTGAGGGAAAACAACCCAGGGGGATTCCCAGGTATCTGTGACCAAGGGAGTGTGATGCAGCTCCAGTTCTGGAGTGGGAGATGCAGGTACCTGGAGAGGACAAGTAGAGGATTTCCACAGAAACAGCAGCATAATCACCTTGTTCCAGAAAGTGGAGGAAAAAAGCCCTTGTCAATACTTTTTAGAGGATGTTATTCTGAGTTAATAAGTTTGGTCTACTTTTGTGCTGCTAAGCAATCCATTAAACTTGGCTCCCCAGTGAGACCATGTGGCTGACCCGCTGGCTAAGCCTGTTCAGAAAGATGGGAAGAGGGCAGAGGGGTGAGCACAACCTGAGGGTCCAGAGGCCACTCTCAGGGGGACCCTTTCCAACACCCTGATGGACAAAATACCAAAGCCCAGCATGGCTCCAGAGTGGTCAGGACCTTCCTCCATCATGTGCCAGTAGATGCCCCCTCATTCCAACAGAGTCCAGATGAGGTGCAAGCTGGGAACACACACACAGACTGCTGGCTTGTCCTTCTTTCATTGGTTTTCATTTTCTGATTCTAACACTGAGTGTTAAAATGACATAATCCAGCCAATTTATCTGTGTGATTTAGGACTGTTTATCTTAAAAGTTACAAGGAAATATTATTCTACATCTATGCAAATTATCCAAATGAAGGGACAGTAACAACTATATTGACTACCTATGTACCTGCTCTGAAATGATGGAAGAACACAAAACAGAACCCACAAAAGAGGAAGGCAAAGGACAACTCCAACAATGGGTTAAAAAAAAAAAAAAAAAAAAAAACCAAAAGCCCAGAAAAACTGTAAAATTTTTTGATAAATCTACACAATTACTAGTATTATGTCAAAACATTTATAAGTGACAATTCCTAGAATAACAGTGACAGGAAGTAAAATCAAAATTATAACAGTCTGGAACAAAAGCTTAGATGAATTAAGATGTAAATTTAAACATACTTGAAAATTTAAGACCAGCTACTATGTGAATAAAAAGATGTAAAATTTCCAAACTACTGAAGGAGAAAGAAGAGATCAAAGCCTGACAGAAGGCTCATAGGGAAAGGGAAAAAATGCAAGCAAGAATAAAACAGCAGTTACCTCAATAAAGACAAGTGTGCTGAACCACATTTAAAACAGGACACAAAAACTAGCACCACATACCCAAACACAGGACACAGAAAGGTCCAAACAGAAGCTGAGGGCAGCAGCAACTCCAGAGCCAGATGAACCAGGACTAAGAGTCCAGGAAAAGCAAAGACCTCACACTGGGAAAGGCACAGCTCAGCAAAACTGCAGAACAACCACGAGCCTGCACAGCCCACAGCAAGCAGACAGGAAACAATGAGGGATCATAGAAGGAGATGGATGGCACTTCACCAGAGAAGACAGGTGCAAACCCCTGCACCAACACCTCCCTGGCCTGCCTGCATGCCTCCCTGTCCATCCAACCAGCCTAACACTGCCATGCGCTTCAACTGTACAGGATTTGACCCTCTCAGACATCACCACCCCCCATGTCGCAGGTGGGTAAACTGAAGCTCAGAGTCACAGCTTGCAAAGGTCACATGCTGGCTATTGGCAGAGTCAGGAAGTAAGCCGATGGGCCTGAAGGGCCCATGTGCTTAACCATCTCACGAACAGCCAATGTCAGGAAGAACAGGTTTGACCCATAGACCCAGGTATGTGTGAGGACATAGGTAGGAAGACTGTGGCCTGAGGCCAGTCCCAGAAAAAAATGCAAGACTACCTGAAAAATAAAGTAAAAAAGGGCTGGGGATGTGGCTCAAGTGGTAGAGTGCCTGTCTAGCAAGTACAAGGTTGTGAATTCAAAACCTAGTACCACCAAAAAATAAACAAACGAACCAAAAAGGCTGGGAGCACAGCTCAAGTGGTAAAGCATTTGTCAGGCATGCATGAGGCCCTAGATTCAATCCCTTAGTACTGCCAGGAAAAAAAAAAAAGGAAGTTCTGTAGGCAGAGGCAGGGAATTTTATCAAATCCTCTACAGTGCCTCTGTGATAGTCTAGTTTACTTTTTCACCTGGTAACATGGTGAATGAAAAAGGGGCAGTCCTTAACACTGCATGCTTACTTTCCTTCACTGTGCTGCTGAGTCCCTCTCACATTGTGTTTGCACATGCACAGAAAAGCATCCAGCAGAGAAGGCACCGAACTATGAATGATGAAAACCTGTATGTGTGGGGGGGGGGGGCAGAGGAGTGGCTGAAAAGACCAAGACCTGAGGTGGCCTGTAGTTTTTTGTTTGAAATGCTTTATAGTCAGCACATTTTGTTTTGGTAATTTAAAAGAAGAAAGAAAAATAAAGTGAGTTCAGAGAAAACCCAGGGGTGTTTGACTTTTAGGGTTTCATGAGGTACTGCAGTATGGCAGCACCCAAGCCCACCAACATTGGCCCAGAAAACTCACAGAGGAGGCATCCCCACCTGCTCGTCGCTTCTGTGATAATCGTTGTCCTCTTCCTGCTTCTCTTCTGCTGTCTCTTTGTTTGAACTGTCATCTGCTTTGGTTTCACCTTTTAGCACAAACAGAAAATATCGTACAGATTGAGAGTCCCTAATCCAAAATGTTCTAAAACACACAACTTCATGAGCTAAAGGTGGAAACTTCCACAACTGACCCCATGTGACAGGCTGCAGTAAAGGGCAGGCAATCTAAGAATGCTGCATAAACTTACCTTTGGGGCCATGTATACAAGGGCTTGTGGAACGTAAGAGACTTTATGTTTAGACTGAAATTCCACAAGTATCTCACTGCGTATGTGCAAATGTTCCATAAATTGGAAATGCTTCTGGACCTCCATTTTGGATGACAGATACTTAATCCCTATTATGAAATCCCATTACACTGTTTTAAAAACTCCACAGTATACTCAAAATGATGCTGACTTTCACTCTAGATCTTAGTGGGAGAAAAACCATTCTCCAAGGTCTGCTGAATACCACCCTCCTCTGTGGGGTCTCCCTACAACCTCAGTGGCAAAGTGAGTTTTGGGCATGTGTCTAGGGGCTTGGAAAATGAAGAGTAAATGAAACCTGCAGGAGGGGTAGAGGCAGCTCCCAGGGCCACTAAGCACTCACTGCAACAGCATTCTGAACACCTGGCTTTCAGAACCTGATCACTCTCTTAAACATGCAGCCATGACTGGATCCAGATTGCCAGACATTCCTCCCAGCCTCCCTCTACCCCAACCCTGCAGCCTGTCCTGTCTTCCCTGCCGCCCTGAGTGCTGGTTCTTCTCAGGTTGTTAGGAGTATGCAGGATGGTCTGGAGGATTCTTAGGAATGTGTATGGTCCACCACAAAAAAGCAGGCCTCAAAGATTGGTATAATTTGTGAAACTTACAATGTTAAAAGCACTATTAACTTTATGCTCAAACCAAATTGTGATTTTTGCCACTTTATCATAAAGCAAGCCAAGTTAAAAATCTCATCTTAGGAAATCCAACTGTCAGTACTTTTTTCTAGGCCCTCTGCCCCCTGACTCCTGCCTTCCACCCTCCCCCACCCAACCTGCAGGCACTTTGTGGCAGCTTCTGCTCTCCACCCTGCAGTGTACCAGGAGTGATGGCGAGCGTTCCCAGCACCCACCAGGGCCTCGTCACTTACGGCGAACCACTAAGCAGGGCTCAAGACACATGGCTGTGAGTGACAGCTCGATATGTGAGCTTCTGAACTCCACAGCTACTCACCATTTCGGGGATCTAAATGTTGTTTCGTGGAGCATGCCTCCCCCTTGATGTCACCCGGCACCTCCATGCCCAGCTTGTGATAGAATTCCCTCTGCTTCCTCATTTCCGCTATTGAAAATTAATAGATAGTCTTTAATCTCAGTAGGCAAGGAATTACAGTAAAACTTCATAAACACCACATTAGGAAGTTGCACCTGTGGGCTGTGAAGTTTAAAGACTGCGACTGGTAAGAAAGTAATAGTTGTAAATGCGGCATGTGAGTCTAACTCGGTATCTGAGACCCACGCTGTAGGCCTGTGGGAACAGTGGAGCAAGATAGTGTGTGAAGACTTGGTGCAGCCAGACAGGCTCTGGAGCCCCCAGGACGCCGCACCATGACTGTGACCCCAACCTCCTCAGCTGCCTTTGAAGTCCTGCAGCTAACTGTCACCTGCAGTGAGACCGACGCTAAGGGAGGCAGCTCCAGTGACCCCTCAGATATCACCACTGACAGTATGGCTGCCACTGGACTCTTGTCTTGCACACCATTTGGGTATGGGTGGCTTAGTGACCCAAATGTGCTCTCTGGTGCTGCCACTGTCCCTGGGGCCATGGCCTCCACCAAGGAGTGCAGAAGAGTTCTCACCAGGCTGAGTTTGGGGAGGTGTCAGGACAAGGACAGTCCCAGGGAAATATTCTGGAAGCTCATGCCTCTGTGCTGAGGTTACTTGGTCCTCACAGTCTGAGGGCTAGATGCCCTCTGCTGGGCACTGGATGAAGCCTGCCCCCTGGTGTCTGTGGCCAGCAGCCCTGGAGGAAGTTTCTTCCCAAAGACAGGCAACCAGTCAAGAAGCTGCCCCCGTCCCCTGGTTACCATGCCTTTTCTGGATCAATGGCCAACAAGGCAGTTTCATCTTTCCTCATGTGGTCAGCACAAGGTCCCTGCCAGCTGGATTAGAGGGACCCTCTAAGCAAGCCATCAACCTGACCCCTCTGGGTTAGGCAGAAGGACCAGGCCGAAACCTTACACAGTGCAGGTCCCCAGTGTACACCAGCTTCTTGTCAGACTCTCCTACAGAGGTCAAGGTTGCCATGAATACTTGCAGCTCTGCACAAAAGGTGCCTACTGCCACTACCACCAATGGAGCTGACAGGCAAGGCAAATCCAACTCTGGGACCAGAGTAGGGGTCATTCACCCCACAGAATCCTACGCAGACACTGAAAACTGTGGCGCAGGCATATTTATTGCCAAGGAGCAGCAGTCACGCTGCATAGTCACAGAAAAGTCAGACTAAGTAAAACAAAACTGGCTCAGGGCCCACCAATGTAACACCATCTAAGAAACCACAGGACCATCTGGAGACATTGATGCAGAAAAGCATCTATCCGAGACCCCACAGCTGCTCCCATGAAACGCTTGGCCATCTGAGTCAGCCTGATGAGGTGTCCACTGGAGCCCATGTGGATGCACACAAAGAGCAAGCCAGGCTCTGCTCATTCCAGTCCACTCAGCACCATGCTGGGTCCCAGCCAGCTGCAGGTTCTCCTTATGAAGAAGCAAAGTGAACATTACAGGCTCTGTGACACAAGGGTGCAAATGAGTTCTGATGGGAGCTTGGTAACAGGAGAAAAGCAAATTTCCACAGCTTTTTAATTGATGGAATTCAAAATACAGTAGGTTTTTTTTTTTGTAATAAAGGTCTACTGATAAGGAAAACGAATCCTTTTGGGGGATATCACTGGTTCAATTGGAGTTATAAGTTAGTGTTCCTTATTGTCAAAACTGGTTGAACATGGTCACCCGCTGACCTTCATCTGTCATGAGATTTTATGTACTTCATCTTTGAAAATGTCTTTTCACACACAAATGCCAACATCAGTCTCAAGCTTAACTAGGGGAGTAGTTACATAGTTGCAGCCATGGACTCTGAAATTTTCCTGGAGGTATTTGCCTCTTGACACTCAGCTGCGTACCCATCAATCACTTCCAAATGCAGGTCAGGTGGGGTTCCTCAGCTGCACATTTCAACAGATTCTAAAATACGGAATTTCCTTCGCACTTCTGTATCCAAAAACACCATAGGATCAGTAGTTATAGCCTGGAAAACACATCTTCACAAATCTGTGGAGGAATGCAGACCTTGCCTCTCTGACTTCTGACAGCACTGGATATCAGCAGTGTTTGCCCAAGGCCCATGGGTTAAAGGCTTGGTCCCCAGGATGGTACTGCTAGGAGCCAGCAGAACCTTTAAGAGATGGGGCCCAACAGGAAATCTTCAGGCCACCAGAGGTGTGTTCTCCAAGGGGTCTGTAGGACTCCAGGCCCTTCCCTTTTCTCTTTTGCTTCCTGATATCAGGCAAGCAGCTTTGCTTCAGTACACATTCCTGCCACGATGTGCTTCCTCACATGGTCCACAGCCATGGGGCCAAAAGACAATGGACTGAAATCTCCAAAACTGTGAGCCCAAATAAGCCTTTCCTCTCTATAAGTTGATTATCTCAGGTATGTTGTTATAGTAGTGGAAAGCTAACACAAGCAGCTTGACATTGTTTGTGATCTGAGCAACATTAATTGTCTAAATGATTTTCCTGCAATGTAAGTTTTTCATGTAAGTATTGTTTTGCCTTAAAATACTAGGTTGAAGTTGGGCACCAATGGCTTATACCTGTAATCCTAGCTACTCAGGAGGATTGAGGTTCGAAGTGACCCCTGGACAAACAGTTCACAAGATCTTATCTTGAAAAAAACCTATCTCACACACACACACACACACACACACACACACACACACACACAGGGCTGACAGAGTGGCTCAAGTGGTAAGAGTAAGCAGTCTAGCAAGCATGAGGCCCTGAGTTCAAACCCCAGTACTGCCAAATATATATATTTAAATTCACTTAGAAATACTACCGTATCTTTAGTGAAAGTTAATCTGCAAAGCCATTCAGGGTCTGGCAACAGTGGTTAAAGGTGCTGCTTCATTCAGAAAATGCTTTCATTGAGAAAAATGCCCATCTCTGTCCTTAGCTCAAAGAAACATGCATCCACTTCACCTTGCCAAGTCATGGAATGCATGTGGTGGAGAAGCCAGGATGTTCAGCTTCTAACTGTCAGAAATTCAGAGAGCTGTGTTATGGCCAGGGAGTCTACCAAAGACAGCAGTGATTTCATTCCATTCAACTATTTTCTGCAAAGTACCTGCTGGTGAATAACATAATAAGCTTCAAAACCTTACACTTCTGCCAGCTTTGCTATCTGTCCAGCCAAATCTTTTGTTTGGTACTTGTGCTTGCTAGGCAGGTGCTCTACCACTTGAGCCACAACCCTAGCCCTTTTTGTATTTGTTATTTTTGGGATAGAGTTTTGTATTTATGCCCGGGCCTGCCTGGACCACACTCCTCCTATTTACACTTCCCACCTAGCTGAGATGACAGGCACACCCAGCTATTGGTTGAGATGGGGGTCTCACTAACTTTCTGCATGGGCTACTCTCAAACCATGATTTTCCTGATCTCTTCCCTCCAAATAGCTGGAATTACAGGTATGAGCCACCATATGCCTAGCAACCCAGCCAGGTTTTTCTCTCTAGCATACATTTTTGACTCCACTGGCTATGACATGTCCTAGCAGGTGCCACACCAGGCTCCAGGAGAGCCCCTCCCAGAGGCCATTCTCCAGCACTTCGGTTCGGCACTGACAGCACCCACAGTGAACTCAGTCATCACCTTGCTGCTGACTGCTAGGCTGCTTCCATCGTCCTTGGTCTCTCAGCCATTCTAACCCAGAGGCTAAGAGGCTGAAGCAAGTAGATGTTCTCTAGATGTACGATTTCAGTTGCTTTAGCTGATTCACATTAGTGTTTGCTGACACATGAGCTGGTCAGAAGCTTACTTTCTAGCCTTGTTCTGTTTTTCACTTTTTTCTAGATACTGCCTTCCTATGGGCTGGGAACACTGGTGTGTTTGTGTCTGCACTGTCCACAGCATCACTGCAAGATGAGCACAGTGCTTTGCCAACTAGTGGTGACAGCTAACAGCAAGACAGCCCAGCACCTGAGCTCCACTCTTCTCCCCTCCTTGTTTTGGCATGGAGTCTTCACAGAGTAAGGCTGCAGGCACTCAGAAGCTGCCAGATTATACAAGGGCTGAGGCAAATACCTTGGAGGGTGAAGAAATAAGACGACCACTAATGAGCATGGCTGTGTTTCAACGAAACTTTTTATTGGAGGGCGGGAAGCATTTGAGACAGGGTCTCTTTATGTAGCCTGGATTAGCCTTGAACTTGTGATCCTCCAGCCTCAGCCTCCCAAGTGCTGCAATTATAGGTATGTGCCACCATGCTTGGCTTCCAATAAGACTGTTTATGTACTGTGAAATTTCAGTTCATATAATTTTCATTTCACAAAATATTATTTCAATTTTATTTATGTAACTATATAGCACATAGTTTGAGTTCATCTGCTATATGGAGACAGGGGAAAGGTCAGCTAGAGCCTATGGGATATGGTGAGCTAACTCCTATTCCAGTCAGCACAAGGAGAAATAAAGGAGATAAAAATGTAGATACCTTTTGGCCTAGCAATTCTACTTCCACAACAAAGCCAACAGATACTTTAACTCATACTCACACATGCTTTTATTAAAAAGCAATTAAGAGGTTGGAGATTTAGCTCAGTGGAAGAGCGCTTGCCTGGCAAGTGTAAGGCCCTGAGTTCGGTCCCCAGCACCGGAAAAAAAAAAGGAAAAAAAAAAAAAAAAAAAGCAATTAAATACCCACCAGAAGAGGGCTAGTAAGTAAACTGCAAGGATTATCTACACCGCCAGTCATGTGCATGGACATGGCAAGCCCCTAGCAGTGTGGGAGAAAATCAGCAAGGTGGTGGTGTGGCATTAAATAGTGGGCACCCTGATAAACTTTGTAGATATGGAAATTACCTCTGGGAAGACAGGTTTTTAAATATTACACATACAAAAAGAAACAACTAAAAATGAACCTCCCACCTCTCATCTACAAGGGAACAGAAGAACCCAGTCAGCAGCCACCACTGGTTCCACAAGCGCAAGACGGAGACTGTAGAGGAAGCCAGTCACCCGGTGGCTGAGTGAAGTCAAAGCCCAGAGGGGCTGAAGCCATGCTGGTTTTCTGCAAGAATTAAACTTGGGACCTCAAGGGTTGATGCTCTGTCTCACCACAGCACCGTTGTGGTTAAAACATGTCCTAGGCTACCTGGAGGCCCAGCAAGAGGACTCTGGCTTGAGAAATGAGGTTTATAAATGTTGCTACAATAAAGAAAGCAAAGAAATCACAGACAGCCACACTGTGGGTCTCAGAGCCAGAATGAACCTTCTAAAGAGCAACAAGTTGCTAAAGCTGGAGTGCTTGAGTGAACACCTGCCTCAATAGGCACAGGCCACTCTGAGAACTCTGCAGGGCATCGCAGCAGGAAAGCAGTGTGTGAGTGTGAGTTTAGAATCCCTGGACTCTTGGCTTCTTCAACCTCCAAGTGGAGTCAACTGCAACCAAGCTGGACAGGAGCCATTGTGATGAGGAAGAGGACAGGAGCTTGGTGTGATGAGGACAAGAACTCAGTGTGGTGAGGACAGGAACTTGGTGTGTTATGGACAGGAGCTCAGTGTGGTGAGGATGAGGATAAGAGCAAACAAGGTAACCAAGCCAGACACTCTTCTATCTGCACTACTTCCTTCACCTATAACAACTCCAGGACAGAGCAACACTGAGCACCCAGCACACAGGCTGTGGTCTCAGGACAGCACTGCCTACCAGGCACTGAGAAGCCCTGTGGAAAGATCTGGTTGGCTCTGAGTTGGGAGCCACAGCCACCCAGGACTACCAGGGGTGTCACAGGGATGCCCACCAATGTGAGATGCCAGATGGCTACAGGACAGAGAAGATTCAAGCTTCAGAAGGCCAACAAAGGCAAGGAACTGAGAGCACAGGACCACAGCGGCTGGTGAGGATAGGAAGCAATCTGATGCCATGAGGTCCTTCCATGTAGCTTGGAATGACAGGCACATCCATCATGCCCAGCTATTGGTTGAGATGGGGTCTTAAAAACTATCTGCAGGGCTGGCCTCAAACCATGATCTTCCTGATTGCAGCCTCCCAAGTACCTAAGATTATAGACTTGAGCCACTGGCAGCTGGCTGGCAAGCATTTTTAAAAGAATCCTTGTTTCTGGGACACGAACTACAGCACCACAGATGAAACACCACAAGGTGTGGGGAGCAGTCGGAATCAACTGCACCTGCCAATGCACACGGGGTTCCTCACTCACTGGCCCTGTATGAGTATAAAACTATCACAAATGTCTCTTAAGGTCTTAGCATTTTATTTTAAGGACTTCTTTGCCCTTTCCCAGGACTAAAACAGTCTACATGTGCTGGAAAGACAATGGTGAACCCAGAGTAAGAGCAGAGATATGTGAGGTGGGGATGTGCAGAGGGAGGGGCTTCAGTTCAGCTTTGGCCCAGGGCTGAGCAGCAGCTGGACTCACCTTCCTGAAGGCCCGGCACCAACTTGTAAACAATGTCCTGCATGGTCCTGTCATGACTGCAGAGAGACAGAACAGGGGGTCAGCTGGGATCTCAGTCCTGAAACGCTCCACATTTTTCTAACTTCTGAATCACTACTTGCAGTTTTGGTGGGATTTTCCTTCTACTTTGCATGAAAAAAAGTTTGTGCTATAAAAAATTATCTATGACTTGAAATGATACATCATTTAGTTTAGGTTCTAGCTGCTTATGAACACTTCAAATAAAGTCTGTCTGGAACCAGGGCCCACAGCCTGCTGGACACAGGGTTAGTTCACAGGACCCCTCTCTCTCAGGACAGTAGTCACCAGGCATGTGGCAACTTACACCTCCCACCCATGGTCTGCTGGACTTTCTGTGGTCATTCTGATCTACCTACAAAGGTTCTCTGAGAAGGTACAGAAGCACCATATCTAAATATAGTTCCTACTCTGATTTGCTATTCTTAAACATAAGCTACAATTATATCCAAGTAACTGTTTTCTTTTCTTGGGTAAAGTGTCATAGGATTTTAGTTTTCAAATCAATGTTAAATTTTAAACATACATAAGAAAACTCTATGTATCAAAATAACTGACATGATTACATTTCTCAAAATTCATAGACATCTAGCCCTCCAGAGCCCAGCAGAGCAGCCTCTAATGGAAAACAATCCTGTTGGAATCATAGCTGTCCAGGTGCTGCAAGACCATGACTTGCTGTCTCCACCAACTTTCTATGCTCTGGTGGCTCTCAGCTGTGAAGCCCAGCATGGTGTGGAGCCACACAGAGCTCCCCAAAACCTTCTTACCACCACTCACAGGTGTGGTCCACACACACCACGACCAGGTCGCACGTACTCATAGCTCCTACTATACCTGCCTGGCTTCCATTAGAACTCACCAATCCCCAAGGCCATGCTGGGTGGAACAGATGACCACATAGCTTCATACCTGGCTTGAGTGACAAGGCCAGGTCTCACCAACCTGACTGGGTTGGGGAGCTAGGAAGTACGGGTAGGGGATGAGCGGGACCATTGTTTCCTCTAGCAGCCCCTTGAAGTGGAGCCATCTCTATGGAGAATGCATGCACTCCGGGCTGAAACCATCCTTCCTTCGTTCCCAGCATGCTCTCCACTAGGCCCTTCAGGCCCAGGGCCAGCACCTGCCCAGGGCAGGTCTCATGCCACCACATGTCCCACATCACTCACCCCAAAGTCCTAGAAATGGATATTTCAAGCCAAGAAAACTGCACCATACCCAGGCCTGTACTTCATGCTGCGGGGCCACAGGCTGCCCTGCCTTGCTCTGAGAATAGAGAATCTGGCAGGAAGCAGGGGCAAAGTTGCCAGCCAAGCAGTTCTAGGCAGAGCCTGGACACAGCTAGTGGGAGAGGGGCTAGGAGCCCCCAGAGGCCCAGAACACATGACAAGGGAGCATCTCCACCCAGCTCACAGCCACTGCAGCACTGTGTAGAAAGAAACTAACACCAGATGCAGGTCAGCCCCTGTTGACCCAAGCCCCCCATGCTCAATCCCCAGTCCTCACCCCTCCACCTGGCGCCACACCTGCCTCCCATTCTCTCCTCATGCCAGTGTGACAGCCTAAGACTGTGATGAAAGTCTGTCCCCAAGATAGCCCTCCCTGCTCAGCCTGGGGCATAACAAACTCCAACAGCCTGGAGAGAGAGGTGGCCTCCTCAGGCTCATGCCCTGGGACCACATGAAGCCCCTGCCACCAGCAGTCCATGTGGTGAAACTCTCCCTAGCTCTGCAACACCACACTCCAGACAAAAAGCAGGTGATGCAGCCTGCCCACAACCAGGACATGCTAGGACCTCCAAACAGGTAGTAGAGCAGAACACTAAGATGGGTGGCACCCACAGAGCAATCCCAACAACCAGTCAGTGCATTGGAAGGTAAGCTCAGAGAAAACCAGGGTAGGAGGGTAAGGTTCCCTATAGTCACCATGTTGGAAAAACTAAAACCTCGCACTGGCCAGAACACAGCCTAAGAAGTTGCCCATATGTGGTTCAGGAGCTAGCAGGAAGACAGACAGAAGTTCCTTATGCCAGATATCCCTCATATACCCTGCACATGGGACATAGCAGAAGAGCTCAGGAAGAAAAACCAGTGGATGCCTCCAGACGTCTTCACGGAACAAAAGGACCATGGAACCCTCCCAGGGACAATGTGAATGGGTGATTTGTCAAAGGACCAGGCACACAGAAAGCGCATGCTGTTCCCAGAGTCGAGAGCTTGAAGAATAGTGGGACCCAGCAGTGCTGTCTGGGAAGCTGCAGGGGCTTCTGAGGATGGCAGCTGCTGCCTGGCCAGGACCTGAAGTTGCCCAGGTATGTGAAACCCATGTATGTAACATGCTGTGCAAGTCTCTTCCTTCAACTAGTTCTAGACTTGTCTCTGAACCCCTTATGTCATGTGGTGGGTATTTCATTTCCTTCAGAGTGACCCTCAAAATCTAAAACTTTGCCCACTGGCCCCCCTCATCTCCTTGACCTAACCCAGTCCAAGGTGGTTACTCCTGCAGAAAGGCAGATCTGGTACATCTTCCAATTTAGGAAAACTCATGAGGTTCCACTTGGTCTCAAGATCCCTCAAGTGACCTGGACAGGTGCTGCTGGACATCCACTGGCATGGCCCTGGCCACCTACAGTTTGATGAATGGGCAGCCTAGAGCAGAGGGGCTACTACTGCCATGTAGCTGCACTGGGCACCATGTCTGGTAAGCCCTCAACTTGCACACGACACTCACCCAATGTACTGCAGTGGATGGCTCTGATGGATCACGATCCTGCATGTGGGGCAGGTGTTGTTCTCCTCCAGGTACTTTACCAGGCAGCTCCTGCAGACTGTCCAAAGGGCAGCAAGTGAGAGCAAACTCAGAAGAGAGACGTCAGCCACACATGAAGCCAGCTGAACCTCAGAGAGCTAAGGGGACACTTGCATGGTAACCTCCTCTACGCAGTTCCTAGCTCCTGAAAGAAAGTACCTGCCTTTGGGTTGCCCTGCAAAAAGAAGCACTGCACTATGTGGTGGCAGGCCCACTCCAGACACCTGCATGAGGGACTGAGTGAGGAGGAAACAGAAGGAGCAGCAGTCAAAGGCCGGAGACTTGCTGGAGATCATCAGAATACAGCAAATGTTTAAAACTTTTGTAAATTGGCCTACAGCATCACAATGTCTTGTACAATAAAACCAGATAAAATTCAATGAGAATTGCTTGACATAAAACTATGCCACCAGTTTCTAACAACACAATTAACTTTAACATAAAAATTCTATGAAAGTGACAAGTATTTTCTAAAGAGAAACTACAGGATCCAAAGTCAGTTGTGTTGAGAGTCTTTACTTTAATGAGCTGCTCCCTGGTGGTTACCAGATGTGCTGTTTGTTGCCTCTGTGATGCCTCCAGGTGATCCATACAGGACACCTGCCTTCAGGTGAGACAGAAAAATCCCATCCCACCTGGCAGGTGGAATAGAGAACCAGGTGCCAGGAGTTAACCAGCAAATCTCTGTCTGAACATGTAAGGACTTCATTTGAGAATTTAAAACACAGGCATCTCCCTGCTAGAAGTGAACATGGCTGTTCCCCAGTGGCTGACCTCACCAACACTCAGAACATTCAGGTTTCCTGAGTGGAACCTTGCTCTAGGGAAGTCACCTATGGCATCTTTAGTGTGAGGTAATTTTTTTGACCTCTGGCTTGCACCTGAGCCAAAAGCTTTTGGAAAATCACAGCCAAAGTTCTGAGGAGCATGTTGCAGCAGTCCCAACAACCATCTGGATCCACCCACTGCAGTGCAGGGCCACAATACTCACATGTGTGCAGACACTCGGTCACTGTGGTCGCATCGATGAGGTAGCCGCTGCACAGGCGGCAGGTGATGTGGGCATTTATGTCCCAGAGCTTAATCTTCCTGGTCAACATCTTTGGCTTCTACAAAAGAAACACACGTGAACTAATTAACATTTCAACTGCTCTGTGTTTCTTTCACCAACAGCTCAGCCTTGATAATGTCCTCCAGGGATGGCATGGCACACGCTGAAGCCTCCTGGCTGTGGACTGAGTCCACTTCTCCATCCAGAAGGCATAGTGAACAACCAATGGTGATACTGCAGTGATACTGGGACAGGAAGTTATAGTCAGTGGGGTTGTGTGATGAGGAGACCTTCCCACCAGCAAACTGCAGCCAGTGAGACCTAGCTTCTCTTTGTTCCTGACGCCCTTCTTCCTCTCCTGCTCAGAGCTGGTGAGGTGATGGATGTAGGCAGGGAGGGTTTATAAGGCAGAATGGAGACAGGATGGGGCCCAGGAGGCCTGGAGCAGAGCAACCCTACTTGCTTGCAACTCTCCATGTAGCTACAAGGGAGTCTGCATTATGACGGCAAAGAAGGAAGGAGGAAAAGGGGCAGGGCTGCTGGGATATCAGTCCGGCACACACAACCTGGAGACCCTGAGACCCCTGCAGCATCTAGGCAGCAGGTGCTCTCTGGTTACTTGATGCTGGGATCTCAGGGCCTCACTGTGTGTCTGCCACAGCTCCGTGAGCACAGAGGACTCCTCAGTCTTTCTCCTGAGACCAACATGATGCTGACCCTGGGCCTCCTTCCCTGAGGGGCCTCTCTGTCCATCTGCTTGTCTCCTCCCCCACTACCCTCGGCTCTGTCCATGGGACACAGGAACAGGAACCCATCCTGACCTCTCAGCTAGGTACACAGGCTGACCCAGAACATAGGACAGCAGGCTGCAGTGGTAGGTGGAGGAAGAGCTGAGTTGAGGACCCACAATCGGTCATTATCCTGTCCACCAGGACCTGCAGACTCCAGGAAGACACAGAGCCCCAAAGGAGACTGAGGTCCTGTAGGATTGGCCCTGTCCCCAGCCAGTTTGATCTGGATCTGCCACATGGCCTTTGAGCATGGAAGCTGAGGGCCAGGCCCTCATTCTACTTCACCATTCAAATGCTATATGAGAAGGCCATGGTTAAAAGTGTCCACTCAGCGGCATAGGAAACCAGCTGGTGGCACTTTCATCACCCAGTTACTCATCAGAACTCTGCTGAGCTCCAGGCCCACCAACTGCCCCTTGGTGCAGCATGATTATCTCACTGCCCCTCAGACATGACAGCGTGCCAAGCATGGCCATGGAGCCCCAGTGAGGCCCATTCCTGACCTTTCTACCCCTACCAATCACATACCTCCCCTGGGCAAATTGATGGTCAGCATCATCCTTACATCTGCCCCTCCCTGTGTCCTCACTGTCACACAGACCTTTAAATGTTACACCTACCCCTAAGCTGACAGGAATTAGGAGACAATACTCACTGAGGACAACAGGAGCCCAGCTCCTCGTTCTTGGGATGGAGCCCCAGGTCTCACCTCCTCTGACGTCTGCGTGTCCCCCCTCACGCCGTGGCATGGAGGTTTCAGGCCACCATGAGGATGCGATGATCCCTCCTCACTCTGCACTCTGGTTTGCTTCTGCACCTTCCTTCTAGCCCTTGCTCTGTTTCCATTTTCTAACACAGAAACAACACTGTGACTCAGGCATATCACTGACGGTTCTGCATAAACCCACCACTGAACCCTCACTAGAGCTTAGATGACTCCTACACAGCAAGCAGAGTGACAAGGTCCATTAGAAATGCTGACCAAGGAAAATGAGGCATGGTAAACTGCCAGCACGATGCTATAGTGAACTACAAGGAACTTTTACCATGGTTACAACATGCTTGTCACATGCAATTCTAGGTAAATTTCATCAATTCACAGACAGCGGAGAAGGAAGATCAGCTTTAACTTACCTGCAAATGAGAGCCTGGATTCCCGGCTACATCGTGAAGCCTACAGAGAAGCAGAGATGATGTCACCACAAGAGGACACGGGATGCAGACCCAGCCCATGCTGGGTCCACCTTCCAGAAACTCTGAGGCTTGCTCAGTTAAGCAGATCTGCTTGTTTACTTGCTTAAACAATCCAAAGTGAGAATTATGATGGTGAAGGAGGGGGTTCTACCAAAAAGACATATCTAGGAATCACCGAGCCCAGCCCAGAGCAGAGACACAGCTTGTGGGGGTGAGGGAGGGAGGCAGAGGCTCTGTCATACGGCTCTGGGGCTCAAGAAGGCAGGACAAGAGTATGTGGAAACCCTTAGGGAGGTGGTGAATTTTAAGGGTGACCTGTGGGGGCCTCAGGGGAGGGACAGTGAGCAGTGAACTTTGTTATTTACTTCATGTGCTGTCTGTGATTCTTGCGTCCTTGGATCCAGACTGAGCTGCCATCTCTCCTGGTCACAGACTTGCCACCCACTCAATGAGTGGGCACTGAGGACCACATGGGCACTGTGCCTGTGCTGAGCTCAGGAGTCTGACAATGGTGAGCACAACATACATGGTGGGACTGGAGCAACCCTGGCAGGATGACATGGGGCCTCTACCACTTCTCAGCTTGGGCATGAAGTGGCAACTGTGCCTCAAGAGTGCCCAGAGGCCTGGCTGAGAGTTCCCTGATATTGTCTTGAGGTTCTGTCCAGAGCTCTATCCACCTGAGAATAGGCATCACTGGAAAAGAGCTTGAAACATCACCTGCAGCATAACTCTGACAGCATCAGAGCCGCAAGAGGACACAGGGTGTTTGTGGCTTAAGGACAGTGATTAGATACAACTTGGAAACAACTGGTCCAGAAATGACTTTCCTTTATATCCAACTCGTACCATTTGCACACTTCAAGTTTTTCTGTAACTGCATTTCTATAAACTGTTCAGTTAATTCAGGAAAGAGAGGGAGCCAGGAAGGAAGAGCCCATCTTCAAAGACCAACCGAGGGAGGACTGAGAGGCATGTCTGAGGTATTCAGATGAGGGGGATGAAGCCGGCTCATGGCCAGGCAGGCCTGACCTAAGATGACCATGCCCAGCACGGCAGCCAGTGTCCACTCAAGGCCACTGACACTGGAAAGGCAGTACATCTGACCGAGGACCCAAAGTTCTAATTGTAGTTCATTTTAACCAAGTGTGGCCAGTGGTTTCCTGTGCTGGGCAGCACAGCTGGAGAATTCTGACCAAGCACCACACACAAATCCCCACAGCCTACATCCCAACAAAGATAGGAACAGTAAATATGGGAAGCACGTAAATTACCTAGTGTGTTGGAAAGTGGCAAACACTACAGAGAATCAAGCAGAGAGGGAGGAGCCAGTGGGAGCGTGCAGTCTGCCAAGGTGACAGATGACAGCCAACAGGTACATGAAGATCAGTGGATGCCCCTTGGGGAATGGAACACCTGAGCAGTAACAGAACACTGTGAATAACTCCATGCCAGCGAAACTAAAATTTATGTGAAACTGATAAATTCCTAGAAAAATAATTTACTAGAATTGAGGCAAGTGGTGAAAACCCAAAACATCTATTCTGTTATGGGAGCTGAATAAGTAATCACAAATTTCCTTCAAAGAAAACTCCAGGCCCGGGAGTCTCTAGATGGTTCTACCATGTCCAAGAGCAAACAACCTCTCAGTGAGTGAAAAGACAATACTTTAGGACTGGGGATGTGCACTTGCCTGTCATGTGCGAGGCCCTGAGTTCAATCTCCAGCAACACCAAACACACACACACACACACACACACACACACACACACACACACACACAGAAGCTCTAACTCACTTTATGAGACTAACAATTGGCAAAACACACAAAGGACAGACCCTAAGTGTCAGCCCCTGCATGCAGCAGTACACAGAGGGACAGTCATTCTGTAATAAGTTAGCTTTATCTCTAGAATACAGATGGCCACAGTACAAGGAAGCACATCATTAATGACAAAGGGTAAAAGAAGAAAAACCATGTTTTCTTCCCAATAGATGTATAAAAATCTTTTCATAAAATCCATTATCCATTCATGATTTTTAAAAAGTCTTAAAAGACTTTTTAAACTAAATAAAAGTTCTCTATTTAAGAAGACACTCATACACGACTGCTGAAACATGAACACTCGAAGCAATTCCACTCAGGAAAGCCATAGCTGGAAGCAACCATGCTACCCCTCACCAGTCAGGACAAGGGGAAGGGTGCCCCTAGCACAAGGCTGCTGGAAGGACAAAGCTGCAAACAGACCACACAGTGCTGTTCCCAGGGACACCAGGCTTCAGAAAGGTAGGCTGGGGCAGGCTTGAAAGGGAACCTTTGGTCATTACTACAGAATAAACTGGTGAATATACCTCAAGGAAATGATTACTTCACAATTTAAAACAAGGTGGCAGACATGGCTCCTAGTGATAAAATTGGAAAAAGCCACCAAACTAAGCTTGCACCATCCCTGTCCCACGCTGCCTGACTAGAGAAAATGTAGAAGCTAGAATTTTAAACCTTGAGAAGATACTAAGGAGGACCTCCTCTCCACCCTGGGTGAGATTTAAGAGACAGAAAAAAAAAAAAATCCACTAGCCACAAAGAAAAGACTAATAAAATCAACTTCATTAAAAGCATGTTCATTGGATTATCTAAAAACAGAGTGAAGAAAGCCACAGACTGGAAGAATGTAGAAAGTCAGGGGCCTACAATCCCTCCACTCTGCCCGGCTGGGCAGCTTAGGGGCATTCAGTACACTTTCCACTTACATTTTCAGTTTATGCTGTGTTCACTGGGACAAGACCTGCCGTGAACCAGGGAGCCGTGTCTATAATGCATGAGGCCCTCAGGCCACTATGGTGCTGCTGCTATATAGCTTCATGGGCCAGACATTCCCACATTCAACTGTCAGAGTTGAGTGGTTCTGATGCTGTGTGTTATCCCTGGCCCTTTACAGACAAAGTTCACAGACCTTGCTCTAGATGATAAAAGAGCTTCACAAAAGAGAAATTCCAAACAAGCATATCTAAACCATTCAACTTTTCAGTGTACTGGGAAGTACAAATTAGAAAACTCATGAGACTCAGTTACAGACCACCAAACCAGCAGGATGGAGCCTTGCATGCCATGCACTGGTGAACAGTGGTTCCTGGTGCTGGCTGCCATACAATACACAGGCACAGTCCTGAGATAGTCTGGCATTCCATGGTAAAGGTGACACGCACCCCCTGCCAGCCTCTGCACCCAGTCACTTCCTGGAGAGACTCCAGCTCCTCGAAAGCCAGCCAAGTCTCAGTACCCACGTTATCCCAACACAGGCAGCCAGCCCAGCTCTCTCTTGTGGGCCTTCTGAGGACGGCCTGTTTTGCGTGCTTGTCACTCTGCACTCCGTCGTGTCCATGGTCATATGGACAGGCATGATCTCTGGACATGGCTGACCATGACAACAGCTGGTTGGTTGGCTGCTGGGATAGGCAGAGACAATTGGAGGTTTATTCTGACCCACTGAGAAGATGGTAGAGGATATGTATAGCTCCTGAAATGAGGAAGGCACAGGCTAATGGCTTGCTGGGTTCAAGGAGTTAGCAGACCTCTGGACTTGGGGTTCTAGGAAAGGTCAGCAGGCGTCTGAGGGTGGGAACCATGCAGGCAGTCCAGGTCACCCATCCTCACCTACTACAGGATGGATGCCAAGTGGTGTGTCATCAGGGACACATGTGCCCTGAGTGCATGTTTATTCCATGAACAGAGTGGCGGATGAGGGGACCTTACCCTTTTTGTAGGTAGGGGAGAGCAACATCCCTGCTGTGGCAGCCTGGGCCCCAGAACTCTCCTGATCCCTCAGAACATGGCCACATGTGGCTCCTCTCAGTAGCCTCCCCCTGGACTGAGGGTGAAATATCCGGGTCTACTCAATACCTGATCACAGGGTCTCACTTTACCATGGTCTCCTGCTAGGCAAAATCTAAAAGTTGGAAAAGTAAACTTCCCTTAACAACACTTGCTCTACCTACATGACCCAGGTGCACCTTACTCAGCCTTGGAAGATGGGGACAACCACCAAAACCCAATGAGAAGACATTATCCTCATTAAAATCAGTAATGCAAACCAGCTCTCCTGTGAGTGGGATCCAAGGAGAAGACTCTGTTGGACCTGTGGTCTAAAGCACCACTGATCCAATTCCAAGCTGGTTCCCAAATAGCCCAGGCTTGCACATGTTAACAGGAATGGTGACTTCAACACTAAAAGAGTATTTTCTAACAAAAGAAAACAAACAAACAAAAAACATACAACAACAAAAATAAGAAAGAATGGGCCTTTTATAAGCAACTAAGACCTTTACCTGCTTGAACAGGCACATCCCTTACTCTGTGCCACAGGTGGGCTCCACTTTCTGCTCCACACCAGCACAGAACCAGAACAACGTTCTATGGTGACAGACCCTTCCCCTCTGTGCTGACCATCCTAGTAGTCAGCAGTGACTCAGCCCTTGACAGTGGTTGCTGCAGTGAAGAACTGGCTGTCATTAATGGCAACCTCCTGCATTCAAGATTACCCTCCTCTTCCCTGCCTCCTTCACCATTCCAGCCTCCTCCACCACTTCTCCTATGGCTTAACAGCTGGTAAGTCCTGAGATGCTCTCCTTCAGAAGACTGTGGTCAGCCCTAGCTGGTGAAATTCTCTACACAGACTGGAACTCTCCCTGAGTAAGAAGTGCTGTGCCCTGCCCAGACCACTGTAATGACAGGCCATGCAGTTGGTTGCTGGCATTCGGTGCAGACAGCAGAAAAGCCTTATGTAGCCAGCCTTCAGTGACAACCTAGACCTCATGGATGCATGCAACCTCCCACATGTCCACAGTCTGCTGTTAGGAAATTAAGCCAATCTAGACATGTGACCTCACCTCATACTCTTCTTGCCTGGCTGATGTGCCCAGTTCTTTCCCTGAGCAAACTATAGCCAGGAGCAGAAAGAACATTACAGCAAATCACCTAGCCTGGGTGGCCGTGGGGCTTCTGCAATGTCACAGACTAAACTGATCTTACATGGACTGTGTCAGTCTAACTGAACCTCATTGAGTATGACAAGATCGACAGATATGAAGCCAGTGTCTCTGGGACCTCTGTGAATGTGTCAGGAAGGATGGACACCAACCACACATAGGAATTCCCTGAGTGTGTCTGGAGGGACTGACACCAACTCCACAAGGACCTCTCTGAGTGTGTCAGGAAGGACTGATATTAACCTCACACCAGACCTGAATGTGTCAGGAGGGACTGACACCAACCCCACACCAGCCCCACAGATCTGGCTCAGGGTAAACACCATGGATCCTCCAGTCAACTAGTAAAACTGAAAGGGCCTGATAAGCTATGTATGGACTATGTCCAGCCTTCCCATCTACACTGGAAGCCAGGGTGGGAACCCACTATACATGGGCTAGTGTGCTCTAATGATCTCTGGAAGGCCGTTGCACCCTCTGCCGTTGCTCTCCTGTCACCCCACAACAGTAAACTGATATTTAGAGGAAAAGAGGAAGCAAATATCGCCAAGCAGAAAACCATGTTCTAGGAGTGGGCATAAGGGTCCTATCCTAGTCTGTGCAGCTGCTCACAGAATACTCTGAATTTGGAGACTTACAAATCACAGAAGTTTATTTCTCAGTGCTAGAGAAGGGGTCACCAGCCCTCCTGCATCTGTTTCTGGTCCAATCCTGATGGCACCTCTTGCTAAGTCCTCCAGTGGCAGGAGGGGCCAGGGAGCTCTGCTGGGTATCCTTTACAAGGCACTAATGCTGTCCCTAAGGGCAGAGCCTTAGGATTTCAACTTAATGAATTGATGAGGGGGGGTGTGTGTGTGACATAAACATTCAGACCACGGCAGATACTCATTGTATAATTCTTGCAAGTTTTCTTCAATTTTTTTCTTAGTAAATGCTAAAGTCCCTGAAATAAAAAAGAAAGGCTCACTCTTCTCTGCCCCACCTGCTTATGTGCAGGGCGCAGCCCCAATCCTTTGTCAGGCAAATCAGGGTGAGCAGAGTGTCCTGGTACCTTTAGCGACCAAGGCAAGCCACACCACACCCTCAGAACACAGCCACAAAAGGCGCTGGTCCAGATCTGCTTTTAGTTATGGTTTGGTTAGCACCCAATACCGCCCAGGCCCTGCTTGGGAACCAGGAGATGGAGCAGCTAACTCATACGGGACTACAAACCCCTAAAATCCCCACACAACCAAGGGACCTCCACAAGGCCCATGAAACCCACGCAGGACCTGAAGGGTAGCAGGGGCTCTGAAGAGGTCTGCAGACACCTTTCTGTTGCATGCTTTTTATTAAACATGTGGAATTTGCTGTGAATATAGCAAAGTTCTGCAAATATCAATTAATTTGCAAAAAAAAAAAAAATTCAGTTAACCTCCACTGTCAAGGTTCCTCTAAACACTAGAGGGTCCCTTCAAATGAAAGAGGCTAGTGAGGACAGTGCTTCTAGTGGGCACTCCTTCTGTCAGAACCTTCCCTAGACAGTGGTGAATCCACAAAATGCATGTAGGCAACATCAATTGCTCTTTGCCCTTTTGGCATTTGTATAGTTTAGTTCTATAAGAAGAATGTGGCAGATCTGAAAAGACAGTTCTGTCATTATTTTTAAAGGCTTCATGTTTTTACTCATTATTTCTATTTTTGGACATGGGATCTCATTCTATTTCCAGGTTGGCCTTGAAGTTCTGGGCATTTTCCTGCCTCAGTCTCACGAGTGGCTGGGACTACAGGTACGCACTACCACCCTGACTAAATGTGACGATAAACTATAGACTTGTGGAACTGAAGAACAGTTCCAATTTACTGAAGAACAGTTCCAATTTTTGACCTACAACAAATTGTGCAGTATTTTTGCAATAAATAAACAGCAAGTACAGTGAGGGTAATAAAAAACAGACAGACAATGGGAAACTGCCCCTAAACCTCAACATAGTTTAACAGTAAGGAAAAATTATATCTTCAACCTTAAATTCAACTCTAAACATCAACCAAGGCAGCAAATAACAAATCCTGCTATTAAACAAGCCAAAGAGCAACACAGCTCCAAGGCAATCTTACTTTGTGAGATTCCAGTCAATGGCAAAGGGCCCTTCCCCACCCAACAGTTGGGTTATTCTGTAGTAGAATCTCCCCAGGGCCCGGGAGGGCAGGGAGATGGGAGGTGGCCACCAGGAGCCCAGCATCCACACAACCTTGAATGAGCCCCACACTAGGCCGGGTGGGGAACAGGGAGTACCTGGAACCTAGTACTTCCATAGGAAAAATATCCCAAACTTTTCGGGATCTTACATCTTAGACGCCATTTTGTGTTTTCTTTTTTTTAGCGGCACTGGGGTTTGAACTCAGGGCCTCACACTTGCTATGCAAGCGCTCTACCACTTGAGCCACTCTGCCCACCATTTTGAAGAAGACACTAAACAAACAGATGCACAAGGTCCAAAGCAATAGGAAAAACCCTTTCTCCACATATTTTAAAAGGTTAAGAAAAACTTCTTACAAAGGTCAGTTTATAACTTCTGGACCTTGTCTTGGGCAAGAATAACATGAGACTCTTGGGACACCAGCAATCCCTGCACTCAGAGGTTTGACACCCCCCACTCCTGCCCCACTCCATCTGCAGAGGTTGGACTGTTTGTCAAAGCGTTCTGAATGGTAAGTTACTTCCTAGGAATCTTTTCTAACTTATGTTCCTTCCTGTGTAGGAGTCACACCTCACAATCATCTCAACCATTATAGTGATATCAAAGGACTCTGTATGAGTCAATTAGAGAGCCTCATTCTAACATACAACTCTGAATTTACTTAGGAGGTTTATTCAGGTTCAGGACACACAGTACCTAAAACCTGATAAATGCCAGGCTCGCATACCTCCTGGTGGGCACACCTGGTATGCCCACCCTATGGAATCTAGACCCCTGTGTCTGCACAGGGCCTAGTGTTTTGCTTCTAACAAACAGAATTAGGCAAAGGTGACGGCGTACCACTTCCAAGGTTAAGTTGCAAAGCCTATTGCTTCCTTCCTGTTAATGTCCTGCTCTGTTGCTGGCTCCCACTCAGCTGCCTTTTGTGAGGCCCCAGGGAAAGGAGCTGGTGGGCAGCTGACAGTACAGAAGGAGGCCAGGTTGGGAATGCTCTGCAGTGGAGTCCTCAGGTGAGGGCCTGGCCAGCACCCTGCCTACAGGCCTATGGGATGTAGTCAGAGGACCTACCAAGCCAGGCCTGGGTTCTGACCCACAGAAACTAAGTTTAGGAGTAAATGTTGCACAGCAATATAAATACAACCACTCATCACTATTACATTTAAAAGTCCAAAAAGTGGAAAATGAAGAGCCTAATCAAACCTGAATATATACTTAATCTTGGTTTTCTCCTGAGAAATCAAGAAGTGAAACTGCATTTCAAAGGAAGACATGGAATCACCAGTTCAAGCATCTGTCTCTGGGAGTCCAGACAGCCCACAGTTTTAGACTCATGCCTCACCCTATGCCAACTTCTCTCTCACTCACTGACCACCCCAGGCTGGTTCTGGAAGCTGGGCTAGATAAGGCCCCTGCTCCTACCCCCTGCTGCCACGAGCTTTCTAATCCCAGAACACGTCTTAAAGGTGTCACTGGACACACTCACTCAGTGTCTGCTCAGTGTCTGCTCTAGTCAAGAGCAGCAAATCACTCCCTCATTAACACCTCATACAGCTTTAAAACTGCACCCCACTTTTCCATGACCACTTCCAAAGTCCAGGAAAACACCATATTTTAGATAAAAGGCCGATCTGGAGGTTTCAGAGAAACAGACTTCTCCCGACTCGAATGTCATCCTTTCCTGGAGTGGAGAGGCAGTACCTGCCAGGGCTCACCCTGCAGCCCCATTCTTGACTGCTTGTCTGGCTCCTCCTGAATGCTCCAGGAGTCCCTGGACACTGGAGACACCTCTAGACCAGGAAGGTACCTGCACAACCTTGGGAAGAGGGAGGGACAGGGGATGAAGGTGCCAGACACTGACCAGGAAGGGAGAAATAAGCACATTCTGGGCTCCACAGGAAGGGCTGGAAGCAGGCAGAAGGCCACTTTCTAGGTCTGGAGCATGGAGTACTCCTGGACCCAGAGAACCCCTGACATCCTTGAGTGCCCAGAGCCAGAAAAATGAGCCCAACCTTGCCTCACACTTGCCACCAGGTCCCCACCCAGGCAGCAGTTCCTGAATGTCTATAGGGCCAGCCTGAGAGCTCATGATGCTGGGGTGCTCAGGGGACCTCCTGGGATTCTGAACTGGGGTTTGAAGCTTTAGGCTCAGGCGACCAGGATCCCATATGTCAGCACCTTTACAGCAAGAGGTGGGGATAGATTTGGGGCACCTCTGGACCCCATCCCAGCACTCTTTTTGGCCTAGTCTTGGGGTCTAGCTGTCCAGAGTCCCAGAACTCCCTGGGGATCTATCTTGAAGTGCTAGCTATAATCAGGGCCCTCCCTGGGAGAACTTTCCTCATGGCCCAGCCCCAGCACCCTCACCCTAAGTGAGTCCCTGGGGTCCTGGTTGTCCCAGAGCCTGCCCATGTCCTGAGCCCGCCTCATGGCTCAGCCCCAGGGTCCCAGTCTCCTGGGAACACAGGACTGTCTTGGGGTCCTAAAGTGCTCTCACAGGACTGTGCCAGTGTTCCAGACCTCGTTTGGTGCCAGCGTTGGTGTCTCAGTCCTCTCCAGTGGGCTTGTCCCACAGTCCTGACTCTCCTACAGTCTTGTATCAGGGTTCTGGCCCTCTGCTATAACCTATCTGGGATTGGACCCCTCCCTCAGTGGTTCTGGCATTCTTTAGGTCCTGTTCAGTCCTGAGATCTAGGTGTCCTTGATGACCTTTCCCAGGTCATCGCTAGGCCCTCGCTAGATCCTGATGCCAGTTCCCAGGCCTGCCCCTGACCCATACTAGGATCCCCAGCTCTTCTCAGTAACCTTCCCTGGGGTTGGACTCTTCTGGATGACCTGTTCTGTTTTCCCAGCACTCTGTGGGTCCTGCTCAATTCCAGTGACTGACCCTGTTGGTGACTGACCCTCTGTGGCTCCTGCCTGGTCTGCAGTCCTGCCTGATCCCGGTCCTGGCTCTCCTAGGATCCTGCCTTCCCAGGGTTCTGTCCTGTGTAGGCTCCTTCCTTCCTGGGGTTCTGCCTGGTCTCGGGTCCTTTCTGGTCTAGGTTCCTGTCCTTCCGGAGTCCTGTCCCATCTGGGATACAGTCTGGTCCACGGTCCAGAGTGGTCCGGGGTATAGGTGGTTCCAGGTCCTGCCTGGTCCGGGGTCCTTCCTGGTCTGGGCTCCTGTCCTCCCGGGGTCCTGCCCGACCCGGGGTCCAATCTGGTCCGGAGTCCAGCCTGGTCAGGGGTCCTGCCCTCCCTGGGGTCCTGGTCTCGTGGGGTCCTGCCTCCCAGGGTCCCGGCCTCCTCGCTGGCCCTGGGGTCCCGCCTCCCGGGCCTGCCGATGGCTCCGGGCTTGCAGCCTTCCGCCGGACACGGGCCGAGGCCGCGGCCTGAGGAGCTGGAGCGCGGGCCCAGGCCGGGCGGGGCGGGCTCACTGACCTGCGTCTCGGGCGGCGGGCGAGCGGGCGCACGCGGGGGCTCGCCGGGAGGGGGAGGGGGCGCCGCTCCCTCCGGGTCCCCCCCAAGAGGAGGAGAAAAAAGCCGTCCGGAGTTTAAAACAAAGAGGCGGAAATGCCCGAGCAGTGCCGAGCGCCGAATCGGGGGCGCCGCGCTTGGAGCATGCGCACTGTGCGGCTCGGCTCCCACCCCGCGGCCGGGCGGGGGCGGGACTGGGGGCGGGGCTTGCAGGGGTGGGGTTCGGGCGGGGCCAGAAGGCGCAGGCGCGTGCAGGCTGCGTTTGGCCCAGGCGAGACTGCGGGGCGAAGCCCAGAGGCGTGACCACAGTGCGGGGGCGGGGACCGTAGGGGGCGTGGTCAGAGTGTGCGAAGGGGCCAGGTCCGCAGGGCGGAATCTCGGGTTCGGGGCGGGGCCTGGGCGGGGCCCGGGCGGGGCCGGAGGCGGGCGTGGGCACAGCAACCTGAGTTGAAGGCAGTGACCTGGGCGCAGGCGCCAGACTCGAACTTCATGCTGGGGAGGGCTCTTGACCTGGGGTTTCCTCCCTGCGAAGCCATCACGTTCTTGCATTCCTGTTCTTCCTTGAATGAGGCAGATTCGTAGAACGCCGCGGACAGGCAGGAGTCCTCCCTTCGGATTCCACAGCTCGTGGGTGCGTCCACCTATGCGCAAGCCTGCCTAGAGCCATGAACAATGGCCGAGGGTCACACCCTGGTGGGGTCCCCACTGTAGTGGAAAGGGACCGCAACTAGGAAGAGGAACTCTCTGTCTCTTAAGGGACAGAGAGGCTGAGGCAGTGGCGTGGTGGGATGTGCTGCCACAGAGGGTGGGGTAAGGAAGGAACTAGAGGGAGCCCAGCAAGGGTCTGGTAGTGGGGTGCAGGGCAGGAAGTCCAGCGAGAGCCTGTGTGCGGAGAGGTCAGATGGGGCTTCTTGAAAGCCCTGCTCTGGCGGTCTTATGATAGCAGGGATGGGGAGCACTAGGCCATTGGTCCCACCAGGGGAGGCAGTGAGCTGCCGCTGCTAGTCTGGAGGTGTGGGGTCAGGAGTGTAGCCGTGATCATTAGACATTGGTGGAGTGCTGCAAAGCTCCTTAGCTTGTAACATCTAGAAGTGGATGGTCAAGTGAGTGACCAGAGGTGCCACATAGTATCTGGAGTCCAGGAGGAGCCAACAATAAAGACCCAGACACAGCAGCCACTGGGCTGGGGTACTCCAGGGCTGAGCAACCTTGGTGGAAGGAGGTTGGCTTAGGTCAGTTCCTAAGAGAACCTGAAAAGGTTCGGTAGGGCTCCCAGGGGCCTTGGCCAGCAGTGTGGGTGTGTTGTTGAGGGGTGAAAACAATACTGGTGTGTTCAAGGGAGGAAAACAAAGTGCACACGTGAGACATTTTCAGATGTGTCGTGGTAAAGGGAAGAAAGAAAATAGGGCTCTTGCTGCAGGGAAGTTAGGGTCAGAGAGGGCTGTTTTCTGGGGCCAGAGCTCTGAAGGCGTCATTGGGCAGATGGCTCCCAGTGGAGAGAGAGACTGGCCACACTGTAGAGGAGGGAAGGCTGCCTGGGACACAGGACATGGGCCCAGGTGGGGCAATTGACCTCTACAGAAGAAGCCTTATAGCCCTTTATATTCATTGAGAGGCTCCTGATGAGGAGTAGGGAGGGGTTGGAGGTTGTCCCAGAATTTGGGAAGCTGAGGTATTGGTGTTGGGGACAGCAAAGAGGTATGGATGAGCAGGCCAGGAGCTGCTCCTGGGCTGAGGGCAGAGTGACTCCAGGAAGTCATCTAACTTGACAGACAGATAGACTCCATAACCACCTGTCTGCAAGTGGGCTTTGGGGGCTACGGGTAGGACCATCTTGAGAATTCATTCCAGGCCTAGGAATGAATTCTCCATGGAGAGGGTGCAGATCCAGCAACTGGGCTGCTCATCTGGCCAGCAGCACCCCAGACCTTCACCTCCATCCCAGTTCCTGTGTCCAGCCATCCAGCCATATATCTATTCTGCTGAGATAGCGCCAGGGAGCCCCACCTCCACAAAGCAACTCCTGGTCTTCCCTGGAGGCTGTTGCCCACTCAAGTCCCCTATCTGTCAGCACTGAGGCTAAGACCCTGGGGTCTTCCTCCTGCTCTTTTCCTTTCATGCTCACACTGGCCATCAGCTGACCCATCAGAAATCAGCCATGTGTCCCCACCTCCACACAGATCCAATATACTTGGGTTAGTGAATAGCTTCCAACTAGTCTCCCTGCTCTGTCCTTCATCCATTATCATTATGCTTTGTCCAAATTCATCATCAACACAAAAAAGTGACTCACATAAAACCTTAATTAGTACACATCCCTCCTGTGTCCAAAACCCTACAGGGGCTTCATCAGAGCAGAAGCCCAAAGATGGAGTATCCCAGTGGCCTGAAGAAACCTGGAATGATGGAAATGTGTTGTCAAGGTGGTAAGTTGACAGGTGTATACACAGGTCCTGGCTCGGAAAAGTATTGTAAATATGTACAAAGAAAGAAGGAATCTGAAATCATGGCACCCAGGGAGGGGACACCTTCCTCCCTGTGGGTGAACTGTCCTCAGTCTTGTCTACCACAGTCCTCCTGGTGTGCTTGCCTATTTGCCTGTGGACCATCTAGTCGCCTTTCTGGCAGAGAGGAACCCACAAACTCACAATGAGTCTGCCTGTCTTAACGACAGAAGATAATTAACCAGTCTCTCTCGACACTATTCTTCACTGCAGGTTCTCTCTTAAACTCATTAGGCTTCCTGGACTTCCTCTCACACCAGCCAATGGTGAGAGAGGTCAGAGCGCAAGGAGTATGCCAGGAGGGAATCAGTGTGTTCTCACTGCCTAGGAAGTTCTTGTGGCATCCAGAAGGCTTCCAGCAGTAGGCAATAAGCTAAAAGAGACCAAAGCACTTCCAGGTAACTTAGCCCTATCCAGAACAGCACAGGAGTATTCAGAGGGATGCACCCAGTGAACACTTGCAAGGAAAGGGCACAATGCCCATATCTCATCAGAGCAGTTGGTAAGACATGCAGAGGAGGAGAGTGTGACCCATAGGAAGAGATCTGCTCCAAGCAGACCTAGAAACAGCAGTGGTAACAGGGTGAGGAGCATATGTTAGCAGTTGTTGAACTATGTTCCAGGTGCTCAGGTGGGAGGAGGGCCACATGGCTGGGAAGTGGGTCAGGAGATGGGCAAAAAGACAAAGATGCTGTGAAGGCTACAGGATCCAAAAAAAACTTGCTGGCAAATCACAGAGAATAGCAACAGGAATAAAAACACTTCAAGGTTCAAGCCTTAGATGTATAATGCATCTAAGACCATTCTAGACCATTCCTTAAGGACACTGTCAAATAGTGAAAGACAACCAGCTGTGTACCTTCCCTTCTCTGCGAATTACACATTGGGTTAACCACAGATGTGTAGGTAACAGCTTTCCTTTACAAATACTGTAGCTAATAAGAGGAGAAGAAACAGCCCTGACCCAAGTCCTAATCTCAAGCTCTTCTTCCTGGGGACCCACACCTGACACTTGCCAAGCCTGTGGTTCTCACATCAGTGGATAGGAAATGCAGGCAAGAGATGGAGCACAAGCAGCAGGAAACTAGGGGCAAGGAAACTATTTCTGCCACAAACCACTTGTAAAGGAGTGCAGTGCAAGCAAACTAAATCAGACTAGGGTATACTGAACAATTGGGTCACCCAACCCTGATTTAGGTCTCTGATGGTGTTGAAGACTTAGGGTCCCTGTTAAAGTGTAAGGATGGTGTTGTGATTATGTTTTTAGGAGTCCTTATCTTTTAGAGAGATACTAAAATACTACAGATGAAAGGGCATGGGCCCAAGACTTCTCAGGATAATTTGGAGGAATGGGGAGGAGTATGTGGACAAAACAAGACTGGCCATGGTTGATCATTATTGGAGCTGTGTGATGGGCTGGTAGATTTATTATACAATTCTTTCTCTTTTTGTTTTGAAATTTTCCACAATAAAAACTTCAAAGATGGGATGGACACATAGCTCAAGTGGTAGAGCACCTGCCTTGTGAGCACAAAGCCCTGAGTTCAAATGCCATAAGTACTGCATAATAATAATAGTAATAATAAACAAAACTTCAGAGAGACAGATGCTTGTGGTTCATGCCAATAATTCTGGCTATTTGAGAGGCAAGATGGTGAGGATTGCAATTTGAGGCAGGCAAAGTTAACAAGATCCCATCTCAGCAAATAATCTGGACATGGTGACTCATGTCAGTCATCCCAGCTATGCAGGAAGTCATAGATAGAAGGACCTCAGTCTGAACCCAGGTGAAAAGTGGGAGATCCTGTCTGAAAAATAACTAAAGCAAGAAAGAAAGGGCTGGGAACATGACTTAAGTGGTAGAGCACTTGCCTAGCAAGCTTGAGAACCTGAGTTCAACCCCCAGTACCACACACACACGACAGTTGTTGACATATGAGAAGCAATAAATGAGGATAAATTCACTAACAGAAGTACGTCTGTGCTATAAACAATGGAGCTGAGGGTCACGATGGATGCTGCAGGACAGGGAGGCCAAAACCATCCAAGGACAATCACCACAGGGTAGAACTGATAATTCCTGAAGGACAGAGGGAGGACAGAGCCATGGTGGTGAGTGAGGAACTGAGAACTGCAGAACACTCAGCTGACTCCCTAGATGGAGACACAAACTTGATGATGAGAGCATCCTGGACACTTAGTGACCACAGAAAGAGGGAAGTGGTCTCCCTTGGCCATGACGTGGACAAAGCAGGATATATACATGTCTGTCAGACTATCAGCAGAGAGCGCATTGACAACAACTGAAACCTAGTTACCATTTGGTGGTAGAATGAAACAATACCAACCACTGAATTGTGAGGTTTTTATACAATAAACTAAAAACAATGGCCATGAGAAGGACAGGTTGGTCCAATGAACAGGTAGCATATCCCTAGCTCCTGATCTATTTGGGAAAAACCTACAGAGGCTGCATAAGTTT